AAGTAAGTACACACTTTTCTCCACTTTGAACCACGTTCACATAGGCCAGGACGTGGTCGTGCCTGCAACACATGACAGATAAGCCAGTGTCATCAAATGCTCGCCATGTACTACCAGTACGGCGGTCGTTTGCCGCTGTATGTTGAGTGCTGCACTGATCCTGTCGACGTAACACACAGGTATGAGCTCAAATTTCAGTAAGAAAGATTCCCAGTACCCACTGCGGACAGAGCTCGATTCGGATCAGGTTTCTGAGCCCACTTGTTCAGGTGGTCTTTGGACAAGAAGAGTGAAGGTATCTTTTTTTGAATGGCGTCCAATTCAACACTCGCAGATTTATGGCGACGCTGCTGGAAGTTGCAATCAAGACAGACCAGCACATCAGGTTCATCTGCCGGTAGCCGTCCTGAAAACCGTCCGTAACATCTTGGACATTTCGATTTGAGCTTTCCAAAGCCCGTAAGTTCAAGTGCTTGCTCGCTTAATTCTTGTTCTAATCGCATCATTTCTCGATAAACATCCACGGCCGATGTGAGTGTAAATCTCCACTGTCTAGCCTATATTACATATAAAAGCACGTAAATCAGAATGAAGCTTGAGTTGATTTCAATGTCCAAGAGCCTTACGTCTTCCCCTTTTCGGTTCCAGAGGATGGCGTGAGTCAAATCAAGGAAGTTGTCAATTGCCTGTGCAAAAGGTTGCACCCGGACGTTGCAATATTTCCAGATACAGTGATGAAAACAAAGCATTCGAATGGAGAACGCCGTTTGAGGGTGTCCGGGTGAGCTACCTATATATCCCATCTGAATAAGTCGCACCTGATCAATTTGGCACGAGCAGAACATCACTGGAACTCTCCAGCTGCCTGTTTCGACAAAAGTTAGTTACTCAGCCATTAAAACTTAAAAACACAAAACTAACCAATTATGTCAATCAAGTCAACTGTTCGCGTGGTCGTCCTAGATTTGTTGCAATAGCATGGCTTTTTCAAATCAAGATTCCACTTATCTGGTTAACCTCTTCTAATCAGCCGACATTTCATGAAAGTCAAGAACATCACTCCAGTGATCTCTTTCCATTTTTGAGCTTCCCTTATCCGGCGTTCCTGATAGGTTGAGCAGCCAGTGAGATGAACGTAAGCCAATCCAGGAATTTCGGGTTCTGAGTCCACATCCGACTCAGAATCTGAACTCGATTCGTCAGTCATCATCCTAACATCATCGCCGACGTCATTGAAGTTATGATCAAATTGATCTTGCGGTGATGGCGGATGATTTGTATTGTTCGTATCGAGTTGCTCGGGGTGAATAATGGCCTGCGATAGTCTATCAAGAAAAGGAACCACATAGTCCTCCTCCATCTCTTCAAGATCGGCTAATTCTTGCGCCGAACTGCCCAGGCGCCTAGATTTCTTTTGAACAAGCTTGCCAAGAGGGCACGGTATTCGCGAGTCAGACATTGTGTTTGATGTATGTTTGATGCGTACGTTGAACCGAAAAAAACTGATACGACGTATTAGAAAAACTAACGGAAAAGGAAGTTGTTCAAACGTTTCATTTTCCGCTTTCAAACAAAAATGAAGACTAACAGATTTGATGGCAACTTGTCAAAAAAAAAACACTTTCAGTCAACTAGTCTGGAATGCGTTGGGGACATGTGATTGTTCATATTCAATTGGGCCTGGATGACGTATTTGGACACACCAATTTCGCTGAAAAACGGACTGATGTACATTATAGCTTTTCCTCTTGAAGTATAACGCTGATGCTGAATGATGACACTATGTATCATCATTGTATCATCATTCTGAATGATGAATGATTATGATTCATCATTCATTGCTGAATGACATTCATCATACAACATCATAATATCAAATTACAATGATATGGAAAGTTGGTTATAGTATATGGTGGTGTTGGATGGAAATAAAATAGTGCTCATCAGAACCATCTATATCTTAGAACACTTGTTTACCATGCTATTACAAAGCTAGTCAACAGTGGTGATTTAAAATTCAAGTTGTCAGAGTCTTTCATTTCATCATATAAATTGGGTGTATAGTGCGTACCACCAGCCTACCGTCCTTATCAACCTGCTATCAGTTTGGTCATTGGACCAATGCTACCTTCAGAATTGAAGGCAGAAGGTAGCACCTATCTACCATAACATCAGGCCCTCATACTCCCATGTAGAGGTGCAAAAAATTCCTCCAGGAGTTGGAGATTGAAGGAATTTTCTTCTCAACGCAGTTCATCATCTGAACATGTTCATGTACCATCTTAATGATACTATGTTTTTTTTCAACCTTTGTATATATACACCTCTATCTTGATTTGTTATTTATCTCAAATATATTTGAGAATTTCTTCAAGCTTTAAAGAGAAGAATCTTTTGATTCACAAACAACTTATTGATGATTGAGTTTGATTTGATGGTTTGAGTGTTGGTTTGATTCCTCTTTATTATCTCTCCTTGTTTCTTCATGACATTCCTTTATGACACTGACTTATTTCTTGATTGATTCTTACAGATAAGTATAAGTATCTGCTGTTGCACTTTATCAAGAGTGCAACACAATTTGGATTCATAAATAATAACAAGGCCAGCACCATGAGGTTGGTGCTGGCCTAAAGTCACTAATATGGTCATCAAGGATGTCAAATTAGTGATTATAGTGGGTGGATGTGATTTCAGGTGGGTTATTTTATGTTCAAATGTGTTTCAAATGCACTATATATACTTATGGCATTTGATTTCCCCTCCTTGAACAAACCACATTTGAGCAAAATGAGTGATGTTGGCATACTTGAGCTTAAAACATCAAATATATGCGATTCTGAGCTGAAATTTTAGAGAATTTTCAAAGTCACTTTAGGCTCAAACTTCACTAATAAACTACCCCTAAAAATGTTCAGGAAATCACTAGAACAAAGGCAAATAATAAATAACAAAAACTGGCGGAGATATGGACATGTCAAAATGTGCATCAAATGCTCATTTGCACCAAAAGTGCACCAAGAAGTGGTCTTTTTGAAAAATTCTCTTATTAAATGGAAAATATTTTTCTATTTGGAATCACTTTCATTATTGGATCATCAGGTTTGGAGTAATATCTGCTGAGATATTGCAATTTTCTCCATTTCAGAATCTCCCGACCCCTCAAGTAAACCTTTTGTTGTTGGCCCTCACAGCAAAGGATTTTGCAAATTTTGTCATAATAAACTACAGTTGAAATTTTTTTTCCAACAACTTTCATTGTTGAATCATTAGGATGGGACTAATATCTGCTGAGATATTGCATTTTTCACCAGTTCAGAATGTCCCAACACTTCAAATAAAGCTTGTGTTGGCCCTCACAACAAAGAGTTTTCCACATTTGGTCATAATTAACTACAGTTGAATTTTCATTTTCAACATCTTTCATTATTGGATCATCAGGTTTGGAGTAATATCCGCTGAGATATGCCAAATTTCAGTATTTCAGAATCTCCCGACACCTCAAGTAAACCTTTTGTTGGCCCTCACAACAATGGATTTTGCAAATTTTGTCATAATAAACTACAGTTGAAATTTTTTTTCCAACAACTTTTATTGTTGAATCATTAGGATGGGACTAATATCTGCTGAGATATTGCATTTTTCACCAGTTCAGAATGTCCCAACACTTCAAATAAAGCTTGTTTTGGCCCTCACAACAAAGAGTTTTCCACATTTGGTCATAATTAACTACCGTTGAATTTTCATTTTCAACATCTTTCATTATTGGATCATCAGGTTTGGAGTAATATCCGCTGAGATATTCCTAATTTCAGTATTTCAGAAACCTCAAGTAAAACTTTTGGTGGCCCTTACAAGTTGCCACTGTCCTTTTGGAAATTTCGTGTCAGTGAAGTACCCTTCAATTTCCTTCTTGAACACACCTCATCATTGTATCATTGCATTTGGTCCAACATCAACTTACTTATGCGGTTTTTGGGATCTTAGATTGTTCCAAAAGCTCAAAGAAAGCGACTTTCGGTTTTGGAATGAGCCCCTGTAATCATTCACATCATGAACGTCAAACAGTGGGTCTGATATATTTATTGTGTCTATACCGGGAGACTCTATTAAAAGTATAAAATTGTATAGTATTGAAACGGCATGCTTCATTTGACACTTATGTGTTCTTCTCTAAAAAGTAAGTACTTATGTATAAAAAGAACGAGAGGCTCCTCTGAAATGTAAGAATGTATAACATGAACAAGAGGCTCCTTAGCGCTCCTTCTCTTTCCCATTCAGAGTTGATGTTGAGTTTATACACATACACATTCAAATGACTGGGGTGGGAATGATCAATTCCTTTCCCAGGTCACCACTGTTTGTTTGAAGAATATACGAGTCTTTCTAGGTCTTTCTCCGAACCTATTGGGTATACTTGATCCTTGACTCTTCCTTTCGCATGTGGTGCCTAGATCGAGACCTGATCCACACTTTCTCAAGCTCTGGATCAAGAGAAACACACCCAGTGCTGTTTGATCGATTGTATTACCCAGATCCATCTGATCTGAACAGCGAGAACCCCATATTTGGGCCCAGATACACCAGATACATCTGGTGTGAAAGAAGACACCGGATATAATGTAGCAGCCAGACGTATCCGGCCAGATACGTCTGGCCCCGATATGGTCTGGGATAGCAGCCAGGCGTATCCGGCCAGATACGTCTGGCCCCGATATGGTCTGGGATAGCAGCCAGGCGTATCCGGCCAGATACGTCTGGCCCCGAGATGGTCTGGGTTAGCAGCCAGACGTATCCGGCCAGATACCTCTGGCCCCGAGATGGTATGGGATACGTCTGAGCCCTCACGCCACTTTCCGATCGGACCAAGCCTTCATCCTCATTTCCAACATCCAACTTCTGAACCTCCACTATCGATCTTCTTCACTTCCTGACCACCTCCGCCCTTCAACCATCATCAAGCCGGTTTTTTTCAATAACCTCCATTCTTCAGAATCAATATGAGAACCACTCGTGCCAAATCAGGATCTGGATCCGCCTCAAAATCGGCCACATCAGCAGCCCAACCTGCGATACAAACTGACAAATCAAAGTCGCAAGCGAAGACGTCGAGGAAACACAACCAAGCAACTGCTTTGGGTGACACAACTAGCACTAATGCCGGTGGAAGAAAGCAACAAAAAGGAAATCCTGCCACTGATGCGGACAATAATTTAACTGCAAATCAAGCTGGAGACACTCAACAATCGAATTCTGCACCCGAGCCGACCAACAATAATCCAATTGTGTCACTTTCAAATGAAACCTTCAGTAACGATGTGGAAGAGTTTGACAAGACTTTCACTCTTCAAAACATCAGTACTATTGGGAGAACTTGGATGGGATCTCGTGTTCAGGCAATGATCAACGCAAGGGAGAAGTATGCGTCGCACATACCTTCCGAGATTCTATCGGCGGCAAAGATAGCTAGACATAATTATCGGAAAGCAAAGCTGCTGTTTGCTGGACTTGCCAAAGTGAAACTCGAAACTTTGGAAGATAAACTGTAAGTACCCATAATTACACCTCCAAATCTGCACCGATAAGCGAATTCACGACTTTCTTTTTTCTTCTGAATAGTGGCGAAGGAGTAACTAATCCTCGGTCTCGTGATGCCTTTCGCCGTTTCATGGCGTATGGGAAAGACTCCCTAAAGCTTCGCAGTATGTTCACCTGTTTATCATAATCAGTTATAAAGTGTGATAACTGATGATGATATCATACAATCCAATCTAGTGCCATTAAACGGAGGAGAGAGGATGGTATTGGCAGTTCGAAACAAAAAGGCTGGCCGACTTTGGACAGAAACTTACACTACCGATCAACGCCGAGTTTTCATGGACAAATATTTTTTTGCGTTAGCAGGCATTCCCAATCTTGATCGGCCAACTGACGAGGAACCTGAACCGGACGGAGCTGCTCCACAAGTACCTTTGCTGACTCTTGAAGATGAAGAAAAATATCGCCCTATCTACGATGAACTAGTCGATCACGCCAAAGTCATTCGGTGTGAAGGCAAATGCCACTCTGGAAAGGATATGAATAAACGCTCCTTAAAGCGTGTTAGACAGCTTGGTAAACTTGTAAGTGTGTCTTATTGCACTTCGCTCTGCTGCATTGGTTGATGTTTCATGCGTGCTTGATCCTCTTAGCTTGCCCGTGATGGCGACCGATTAAAATTCAAGTATGCCTTCCTAGCTGCCAGTGCCCATCCTCCAGCTAAAGACACCGGGACTGGATGGTCTCGGAAGTACACCTCTGTACCTGCGATCACTAAATGGGCAGATCGCGAAATCGGCCTCTCCCGAGTATTTGCAACTGTGGCGCAGGGAGAGTCGATGATCAAAGCGATCTCGCATAATCAACACACAACTGCCAAGAAGAAATCAAAGGCTTCCACCAACGTCTGAAGCGTTCCGCCGCAAAAAGCGGAAGGGGAGCGCAAGGGGAGCGGTTCGCCCCGCCCGCGCTTCAGGATACCCAGTGCAGCGGGTATTTGCGCCCCGCCCGCGCTCCCATAGAATTTTTTTCGATGTAGGGGAGCGCGGATTTAGTGGGGCGGTCGGAAATACCGCCACGCTGCGAGCTGTCAGATCCTTGAAGTAGCGGGTTAATTCCACTACATCAAAGGAACCACTACCATACTCGATATCACCCCTTTCCTTTCAGAAAATGCCAGATATCCGGCATTTTCTCTGAAAGGAAGCCAATCCTTGACTGACTGACGCCATCGATCTCGCCTTCACCTCAAAAACCGTAAGTCAACTCACTCTTTCAGCCTCATCTCATCTCTCCTTCCTCAGCTGATACGGAACGTCTCTCACCTTGATCTTATAATCGATCTTAGATAGTTCGAATATTTCGTTGTCATAACCCTTGCAGTCCATATGGGGGTTGACCTCCCCGATTTTGGCGTCATGGCTTACTGCATGAAGCTAGTCGACTATCAATTTCCTGAGCCTATTTATATCGTACGTATTCACCATTTCCAAGTTCCCTCCTTCCCAATTTTCTTCGCTTCGAAAATTCTGCTCAGATACTTGTTCAAAAAGTTAATTTAATTCATCGAATCCCTTTACTAATCACAATTTCCTTCAACGTTTCCGATAAATCATAGTTAAAGATGTTACCTTCAAGCTTGTCTCTTGCTCCTGCCACCAGTGGTCCAACCCTTTGTCCTAGAACTCCTACTCAACCCAGACCCGGCTTTATCGCTCAGTCTCCAGATTTACGTGTCGCTTCCCTTCGACCATCCCCTGTTCGCAATGTTAATACTTCTGATAACGAAGCAAGTGTGTACGAGATTAGCAGTGGTCAATCCGATACTACTGATGGTGTTGGTGGGGATGGTATTGTACTGGTTGAAGATTCCGACCCGGGTAACTCACCTGTTCCTCCCAAGAACAAGAAGAAGGCCCGTAAGACCAAAGCTAAGGTTCATGTGGTTAAGAGTCGAGGCCGTCCCCGTGGTTCTGGTGCATCTATTGGCTTAACTCGAGGCCCTTCCAAGAAATCGAGGAAAGGGCGAGTTGAAGTAAGTTATCCTAGTTATTATTGGTGATAACTAACTGACCAAAACTTTCGGATTGATATAGGCCACTGTTCCCGATGTTATCGACGTCGATCAAGAGTCTGAAATTGAGGTTGTTCCGTCTGCTGGTGTCCGACGTGCGCAACTTGATCGTGTTGCCAAGCTATTGGAGTACTTCAACCCCCCGACTCATGTCAAAGGCGAGGTAAGGTCTCATTTCACTACTCTTTTCACTCATTCTCTTGTAACTCGAACTTATCTAACATCATTTTGATTGAATTTGAAGTCAGGGGACGACCCCCGAAGCTTCCAGTGCCGCTGGTGTAGGGGACGTTTTGTTCGTGGTGCTCGTAGTCATTACAATCTATACGCTCATCGGGATGGAGCTAAAGGTCGAGCTGCCTGTCCCCGACGAGCTCGAGCCATCCAGGCAGGTGTCAAGTTGCCTAAAACTTGGCATCAAGATCAAGCCGAAAGTGCTCAGCCCTTGAACGACGCTAACGGTCAACAAACTCTCGATGGCTTTCTCTCACAAGCCACCTTCAGTGTCGAACTTTGCAACACTGTCCTTGTGATCTGGATCTTGTGGCACGCGCTTCCATTCAACCGCTTCTATGACGGTCCTTTACGTGCCGCATTCAAGCTTGCTAACCGACGAGCTGACTTGAGGACTCCGACTTGGGCTGCTGGAATTGCGAAGGAGCTGTATGTCAACTTGAGTTCTTCAGTGATCAATATGGTCTTGGTAAGTTCAACCTCTCCAACTTCGTTTATTCAATCAAACGATTCATTGACTTCTTCATTTTCTTCTGGACCAATTAGGAAAACGCTGGAAAATTCTCGCTGGTCCATGACGTTTGGACGACGAAGGGTAATAGATATGCATTCATAGGGGTTTCGGCCAATTTCATCGACGATAACTGGAATTACAGATCAGTTCACCTCACTCTCAAGCTAGTGGCCTGGAATAAGATGGGTTTCTTACTTGCTCGCCCGGTGGGCCGATTCTTGATTGCAAACAAGCTTCATACTAAGATGAGTTGTCTCTCTCCTTTGAATCATAAGTTTTATCGAACTAATTTGAAATTTCTCTCATTACATGATAGCTCAAACGACTGACTCCGGCTCCAACAACAACACGATGGCTCTTGAGATGCAAGAAATGTTCTCGGAGTCTGAGGAAAAAGTACAATGGAACTCTTCGAAGAACCATGTCCGATGCTTTGCTCATAAGCTCGGGCTGGTTGTCAAGCATGGCTTGAATTCGATTGGATTAGCTGCTGGACATATTAAACCAACTACTCCTCCTAACACTACCATTCCCATTCCTTCCATCGTCCTCAATGACGACATGACCGAGGTTGTATGCGAGTCTGACGATTCGGACGATGAGCTCTGTCCTCAGCCTTCATCACATCCTCCTACCGACTCCACCTCCGATGTTGAAGATGGACCAGGGTATGATTATGTACCGTCTGACACTTGTGTTGTGGTACGGGGAGCTATAAAGGTAAGTGATGCTATGTAATTGTTTTTGTTTCCCTCTCTTATCTTGGATCTGTTCAACTAAACTGACCTCATCATCGCCATATCTTCCAGCTCAAAGATATCAACGCACTCCTAACTCGAAGTAATGCCCGCCGTGGGGAATTCCAAGCTCGAGCTGCTCAGATGGGCTACGATGGTCCTTCACCCATTGCAGGATGGGGTGTACGATGGAACATCGACTTAGCGATGTTTTCCAACTTGGTTGCTGCTCGTGATGTGAGTCTTCTCTGTTTTCTTTTCGAATTGATCACTTATGTTTGTACTCATTTGATTCTGCTTTCTAGGTTATTGATTCTATACTCATTGCTGATAGAAAAACAAGATACTATCAAGGTGCTATGATGTCCATGGAGGAATGGGACGCGGTGGAAGAATTGTGCAAGGTTTTAAAAGTCAGTATTTTTTCCTTATCTCATACCTCTAAAACGTATAACTAATCCCACTGCTTCATGTACATATTCAGGTCTTTCACTTCTCCACCAAACGGTTGGAGGGTGACTTTGCGTCGGGCTCGGTGCTCCTGGCTGAGTACCTGCGTGTGAACGAGGTCCTTCAGCAGTTACGCGACAGCTCGAATTTCCCAAGTTTGATTCAAATGATCGACACCATGCTAGTCAAGCTTTCAGTTTACCAAGACGAAGCAGCCACTTCGGACGTGATTGTACTGGCTACAGTCATGAATCCAAAGTATCGACTTCGATTCTTCGACCTCCATTACCCTGAGTATGCAGAGGCAGCGAGGGAACTTGTTGAATCTGTATTTCAGGAGAGGCTTTCTGACTGGCCTGTCACTCCACCATCCACCCCTCCTCCCGGTCCATCCTCCACCAATCCTTTCGATCACTTCGATATCTTTACCTCTTCTGCTACATTTCAAAATTCTGATTCGATCAGATCCTCTGAACTGGAGATTTATCTACAAGGAACTGTTCCGATCACTCCTGGCCAATCGGAACTCACTTGGTGGAGGGTAAGTTTTCTTTTATTCTTCACCTCATAGACTTGTATTAATCATTGCTTTCTCGGTTCCATTAGGAAAACACTGAACAATTTCCTGTCCTGGCAACTGTTTCCAAGGATTATCTCTCAGTTTCAGCTACCTCCTGTTGTGTTGAGCGAACTTTTTCTTCTGCAGCCGACATTGCTGTACCTGCGCGTGGTGGTTTGAAACCCAAGACCATCTCACGAGCTGTAGGATGCAGACAATGGCTGCAATCCCACATCCCCATAATTGGCCGATTTTCTGATGCTGTTGCTTATGTTACCTCGTTTGCAGCTAGCATGAAGAAGAAGATTAAAGACATATAGTCTCACTCTTAAGTATTTACGCTTCTTGTTTTCCTTGATTAGGTTTTTTCTTTTACTCTTTGTATGTCGCTCGTCTCTTCTGTTCTACTGTGTTGCTTTTTCCTTGCGTCTTGAGTTCAACTTCTGTTCTGCTTCTTGTTTTCTCATCTTGTCTCTTAGCCTTTGTGTCCCTATCGTCACTCGTTTATTTAACCAATTTGTCACTTTATTCTCTTGTTTTGGCTGGCAAAACACATGTTTGTCTTTTTTTTTCTGCTCTTATATCGCTCTTTGTGTACATATTATTTCACATGTCCATATTAATAAAAAAAATTGTGAATAGGACACTCTGCCCGCTCCCAGATCCGGCAAAACGTTGCAGCGGGGCGCAAGCGAGTCTCAAACCCGCCGCGCTCCTTTGATAATGTAGCGAGTTACAAGATTAAGCGGGGCGAGAGCGTGTGGGCCATGTAGTGGTTGTGTATACCGTTACAAAAATTTTGTGACTTAGCGGATCGCAGCGGTGCGGTTCAGGTATTGCTTCCACCTCTACTCAACAGCCACAACCTAGCGATGTCTTGAAAACGGAACTTGCCAGGGCTTTGAATCAGCAACTCAGTAAGTCTGCTCAATCATACTTCATCCTTTTGTTCACAGAGATATAGTAATTGACTGCCACAACTGTTTGTAGCCGAAGTACTTGGCTATCGTCCGACCAGAGGAAAATGCTTTCCTTTGACAGCTGACCCGGTTGCAGGTCTTGTCAAACGCAAAGTCCCTGTCCGAATTATTCAAGAACCGGAATCAAAATTGAGTGCTGAAGATTTGAAGGTCGGCCACAAGGCAATGCACAAGGTGCATCGACAGGAATGGTTAGATGATTTGAAAAGCAACCATTTTCAATTGGAGCTTTTGGACGGTGTGGAAAGGGTTGGTGCTGATTCAAACTCGGGAGGAAATGAAGGTAATCAGGCCATCAAAACATCGAAAGGTAAGGGTAAGCGTGCAAGCAAAATCAAGTCAAGTGAAATAGTGAGTGATGACGAAGAAGAGCAGGATGTTGATGATGATGAGGAAGAGGAGGATGAGGATGAGGATGAGGATGATGATGATGATGAGGAGGAGGAAGAGGAGGATCTAGGACTAGATATTGATGATGATGATGATGAGGAGGAGGAGGAGGAGGAGGAGGAGGAGGATGAGGAGTAATTTGATGATAAATAAGTATTTCAATTGTGTTGTCTACCTTTACCTCTTTACCTCTACCTTTACCGTTGAATTTTTCTTTTCTGTGTTTCTTTGTGGTGTCTTTTCCTTCATTATTATATTCCTTTGTTTCTTCAAGTTATAAAGTGAAGTTTTTGTAAAACTTTTTGATGTTTGTGCTGCTGCTTTTCTTTTTCTTTATCTTTTTCCTTGCTATATGTGATATGTTATTATGTCTTCAATTTTGAAGAAATCTAAAAATGTTTTTTGACGGGTCTTCTGTGATATCAACCTGTGTAGTGAGCTGCCCACCACCAGATGCATCTCGAAATTTGAGCTTTTATAAGTAGTAAATGACAGGCAGTGCTTGTCAGCAGCAGATTCATCTGTGACCACCAGATGCATCTGCTAGTGTGACAATTGGTTGTGATTGTCAGTATATACATACATCTTACCAATGACCCAGAGCAGCGTGACCAGTGTTGAGCTGCCCACCAGATGCATCTGATGGCCAGATGTATCTCAAAACTTGAGCTTTATAAGCAGTAAATGACAAGCAGTGCTTGTCAGCAGATGCATCTGGTAGCCAGATGCATCTGTTGTGGTGATTGTACGAAGTATACTGTACATTCAAGTGGAGTCATCTGACCAATGACCCAGATCAGCGTATCCAGATGCATCTGACATCACCCCAGATGCATCTGGAATTACGGTTCACAGAACACGTGATAAATCACACGCAGATGCATCTGGAATCACAGTGCACAGAACACGTGATGAATCACACTCAGATGCATCTGGGGTCCCAGTGTACAGAACTTGTCAGGTAAAGCACACTCAGATGGATCTGGGGCCAGATGTAATGTGGCTACATGACTTACACGGCCCACTATTGGCCCAGATCCATCTGGAGCATTAGGCAGAGAGAATTGTGACCTTTGATTTTTTTTCAAAGGCCACTTCAGATGTGTCTAAAGGGTCTGGAAGGGTCTGAGTACGCATTTTCGGACTGGATCCGGCAGGTTTCCTCTTTTTTTTTTCGGATACAGTCCGAAGCATTTTGGTGACACAGGTGGTTGTCGGTTAACATCAAGAACCTCTTCCCTGCCACTTTGTAGCTCTCCTTCACCATTAAGTATCCCAGGCGTGCCGCGACGGTTTCCGCCCACGCGATGCCTCTGCCGGACTCTCTCCATCCCCTTCTAAGTCTAAACTTCGACCATTTCCGTCCCACGATTATTCCAATTCCGTATGAGGTGGAGGCGTCGCCCACCCAACCGATGTTTATGACGTCTGGTGTTGGGATTAGTCGTCGAGGTAAGGCTGATGTCAGTACCTCTAACCACCTCTCCAAATCTTCTTTCACTGATTCAGGTAGGTCTCGCTTTGCTGATTTGTGGATCCACTCCGCACTGAAACGATAGATGTCTACACAATAGCAGGCCATCTGGGGGAATACCATTGATGTGTGGTTTAACCTTCCCGCCAGGCTCTGGACCGCTTTGAATTTGTGGGATGGGGTGCGTAAGAACATTTTTATTTCTTCCATACGAGCGTCAATCTTTTCCTGGGGAAGTCTAACGGTTTTGTCATTTCCATTCCAAATAAAACCAAGATAGCGCTGTTTGGTCTTGAAGTCGCTTCGCTTTTCTACGTTTTCAACCACCCCCATCCTGGCACTCAAATCCGAGATTTCGTTTAAGCTAAGGTTTTGACTGCCGTCAGCTTTTTCTACCGCCTTGATGAACAGTGTGTCATCCACCCATCGGAATGCTGCTAATAACGGGAAGGTTTCTAACATGATTGCCTTCCAGGCGTCCGCGACCTGGCCGAAAACACCGCATCCTGCGACGCCTCCGAAGGTTATGCGGGTGTCTAGTAAAATCTCCTCGTCGAATGTCAGGATCATCAAGAAACGCCACTGGTCTGGACTTGTAGGTATTTGCCGGTAAGCCTTCGCCCAGTCGAAGATTGCCAACAAGAGTTTCCCTTTGTAAGTCGAAAAGAATCTTGCGACTTTCTTAAAGTTGTCCCAGGTTGTGCTAAAATCGTCTTTATCAACCTCTGCGTTCACTGACCGTACCCCGGGTTTGTTTCTCGGGAAAGAAAGGTCATTTATTGGTCGAGTCGAACCATTTCCGTTGATGACCGCGCCGATTGGGCTGGTCCGAAAGAAACCAAGTTTATGGTAAACTTCCTCCTTTGAGAAGGGGCCTGCCATGCGGCCGGCAGCTAACTCTAGTCGGAAGTTCTCGAGGATCTTGTCTTTTGCCGCCAACACTGATGAGTGGTTGGGTGGGCAGAAGAAGGGGATGCCTGGAACCACTGCGTTCTTTATTCCTTGGTCGAAACCTGTTTGGAGGCCGTCAAGAATCCTCGAGTACTTTGAGAGCAGGCCGCATCTCAATAGCTCCCTCTCCCAAACCAACAGGTTCATCTCACAAGTCGCTCTCACCGGCCATTCTGGTTTCTTACTCCGGCTCACGCTTGGCGTCTCAGGAATTGGCTCAACGTACCTGTTGTGCGTGCATGCATGGTAAGTTTTCCGCTCTGGGGCTCTCAAACTTTAGGAAGATGTGGAAAGGAGGGGGGAAGGTGGCTCGGCAACGGGGACAACGGGAACGTGTGCTCTCCAACTGAATTTGGCTCATAGCTGATTTTCATTTCATTCGGAAGACTGCGGCTTACTGTCTGCTACCTCGGCCTTTCCCTTTTGTGCCTCTAGGGCTGCGGCTACGTGACTTGCTCCTTCTGCGATACCTCGGTCGGTCATCTCTTGAGTACCGATCACGACCGCTGGTTCTATCCCTCTCTCTCTCCCGATAAGGTTCTCTCTCGCGACCTCTGTCGCCTTCCCTTCGGCGGTAAGATGTGTTCGGGTCTCTTGCTGCTGTTGCCGCGTGTTTCTCTTCCGTCGACATCGTCCTCCACTTTTGAGAAGAAATCCACGCCCCTTGTGACGTTGCCGCTGGCGATGTCGTTGCTTGGGCTCCTATCCGACTGTAGGCGGTCTCTAAGTTTGATTTCTTGGAGTGTGCCGTTGTGGATTTGGGAAGCCCAGTCAGTGGGTTTTGGTGCGCGAGGGGTCCGCCTAAGGCGTAGGGGTTTGTGCGATAGGCACGCTCCTGCAGGGTGTCTGCTTGAAGTTTTGCGTACTCGAGGATCGTGGACTGGAGTGTGCTAAAGTTCCGTATGCGATTGTCGATCGTCTCTTGCATTACACCTTGGCGGATTAAGATGCAGTAACGAAGGGCAATCATCCACCCGAAGTTGTCACGTAAGTCCATTACCACCCTTCGATGACCTTCGAAACGCTCTGCCAGAGTGATCCAACCCGCATCCGCCACATACTTGATAAACAAGCTGATACCATCGATCCATTCTTCAAATTGCATCGTGTACTCGTCTGGTGGGGGTTGGCCTCCGTACACTCTCAGCGACGCGCTACCGTCGTCCACCTTCGACTCTGAGGGGGCTTTCCGGCGACTCCATTCGGTTTGGTCGTCAGCGAGAAACAACTTATTGAAAACCGTCAGAGGTATGTACGATTTGAAGGTTCTAAGCCAGTGCCTCAGGACGGGGGAGAGCTGAGGTAACCCTTTTTCCATTTTCTCCGATGAGTCTGCCACCAGTAGTCTTCCGTTCTCGACGACGTCCCCGTTTCGCAATACCAGTCGGCCTTTCCTGGTCGCCAGGAGGACTTTCACTTGTTCGGCTTCGTCGACGTCTTCTTGGGTAAGGAACGGGCTAGGTAGGGGGAGCGTGGCGAGTTGTGGTTCTGGGTGAGTCGTAGGGGGTATCCGAGTCTGGTATATTTCGCCTTGTACTCGTGATGGCATCGAGTAGGCGGGCTGAACCTGCGGATGTGCGGTGTGAACGGGTCCCAGGCGAGATTGTTGTGAGGTGTAGGCTGGGGGTACGTGGCTTGCGACACGAAGGGTTGAGGTTCAGCGTGTCTTCCCGGCGGTGGTGGTAAGTTAGTTCCGTGTGGGACGTCTCCTGTGCCGTGGAAACGTTCTGCCAACGGTACGTTTCCTACGCTATTCTCGCTGGCTGACAGCTCCTCTTGCACTAGAGTGTAGGGGCAAGAGTCTGGGAGGCCACTGCCGCCTGCTGCTGGAACTCGAACTCCGTCCGTTCCAATCACGCTCCTCGCCGTCTGTCTGTCGAAGTACTCCAGGATGCCGTTTGCTTCGGCGTGTCTTCCTTCGGCAAACAGCCTGTTCACCCGTGCGTTTAAGTCTCCTGTGAGCAACAACAGAGTGGGTTTACGTAATTTGTCAGGCTTCTTCCTCGTGAGATAAGCTTGTCCGGGTACTGATTCTTGGCTCGTTCGATGTGCTGACTTGGCTCCCCCCGTCTAAAAGGGTTCTTGGAGTTTCTCCACCCCTGAGGATATCCTGGAGTCTTTCGCCCCCCCATGTTGGGATCTTGGGATCGTCATGCGCAGGTTCCTGGGCCTTTGGCCCCCTGGCTTTCCGCCGGAGCGTGTGTAGGGTCGGTGTTTGACGATCACGGGAGGGAGCAAACCAGAGAAACGGGGATCCGAGCCACGAGAAGGAGGGGGAGATTAAGTAGACAAAGCTTACCTCTTGCTGGGGACCGGTCGACGGATTGGTCAAAACTGGGAGTTGGGCTAGTTTGACTATGCGCCCTTCCTTTCCCTTTCTCTGCTGGGGGTTGCCAGGAGGTTTCGTCATCGACATCCGAGCCAATCAAGGATCCTTGTAGAACCAACGCGGCGTCTTCTAGTAGTTCTTCCACCTCGTCTGTTTCTAAGGGCGTGCCGTCAATTTCTTCTTCTTCAAGGGGTTGAAGATTGTTGTTGTTGTTGGCTCGTCTTGGGGTGGCTAGGGGTGGGCCAGGCTGTTGTCCAAGTGCAACCGATCTTGATCGTGTCCAAGTCGAATTCTCAGCTGCCGCCGCCGCTTGTTGCATTGCTTGCTCCATGCTTTCGTCGATTACCATAAGCGGCGCAAATTATGAGTTGACTGTTGTGAGATATTGAGCCTAAGATCTCACGCTATGAGGGCTTGCTGAGGATCTGGGGATCCGGTTGTTGGTGAAATCCTGCGGTGAAAAAGTTCCGCGCTGTATTGTGCCAGAGTCTTGACTTCGACTCTGCGTGCGTGGCTTTCACAGCCAGAGTTTCACGGGTCGCGCAAGCCCTGTCATGGACTGATGAACCACCTGTGTTATGGTGGTTCTGACTAGGCAAAAATAAATAACAAATAAATATCAGAATGCCACACAACAATTCATGTTGGAAAATCTGCATATGTATGTGCATACGTGTGTGTCCAACTTTATTTGATCTGTGAAATTTGTATTGGTACAACTTGTGTTTTGGTCACATTGAGCATCATTCATGTTCTGGACAACAACAATTTTTTTTTGATTTTGCTGAATTTTTAGAAGAAGAGGAAGAAGTAATGTAACTTTGACGTAAAACAATATCAACTTGGATGACAAAAAATCATATTCAAACAGATGTGTGCAAGAGAAAGATTTCAAAGTCACAGGTTTATCACAATTTGACAGGCCTTAGCAGGTAGATCATTGACCACTTTTTGAGTGGAGGTATGTCAGCCATGAGGAGTATTCTGTGATACTCCCATGTGTCAGCCATCATTTATGTACACATCGGTTCAGAGTTGTTAACACAAGCAATGAATTTCAGGTCATTACCAACCGTGAAAGCAACAAGACCCTAGTCCCAAAATAGGGTATTGATTGACTCCAAGAAGTAACCGATTGATGTTGCGTGTTTCAAGATCAAACCCTGATGACAGCATCCAGGGAAAACCCTGACAGTCTAGCTCAGAGCGAGTGACTTTTCTCTGATATATAAAACAAGGATTCTGTGCATCCAAACAAAGAAGAACAATCTTAACATTATACCGTACCACTTTTTACCGCAACTCATCAATGAATTAGCATTTTACATCAAAATCCTTCTTTGTTTATCTTTCATCTGAAAGAAGACTTATTTAGAATTCTTATCTTTTAGAATCCTTTATCGCATCTTCTTTCATATCAAAGACACCCTTTTTTTCTCTGAGTCACTATCTCTTTATCAATTGATGGTTTCCTTACTATTTGAATTGATATTGTAGATAGTCTCTCATTTTCCTTTTGATGATAAATTCATCAAACCAACGCTAAAGCGTCACCTAAGGAATAACTACGAATCCCTTCGTATTCACCTTAGAAGGCTACCGTCGTGATTGCACTTCGATAAGCTACTGGCAGCGGTAATCATCCCGCACCTAAGACAACTATACGTAACGACTATAGTTCCTTTTACTTACAAAGAATTGAAAAATAATCTCCCTCAAGTTTCAATAATATTGTCTAAAACTTGATAGAATACATTTTGTAAGTACTATTCAGCTCTGAACTACCAGTCATCTGCCATGACTTAGAGTCTCAGGCTGACATTTGGGGGCCTCATCGGGAAATACTCCTCTTCACCGAGACTAGGAGTGTTATAAAAAAAAAATCCAAGACCTCTCGCATCCAATCATGGATTCAGTACCATTCTCTAAATGAACCGTATCAAAACCAATTCACTGAACACTTCAAACTGTCGTTCATCAAGAATGCAAATCGCGAGTGTCCATCAACCGAGTGAAAAAACTTAACTATCAAAAACAAGAACTTGGCACTCGTTTGAATCAATCTCACATCACTGGATCCACTCATCTATCCGCACAGGATCCAGTTTTCAAAGCGCCAGTCTCAAATCTGTATCGCCTCCCATGATTGAATCAATTTCACAGACCGACTTGTAATTTCACTTGTGCTCTCTTGAGCTCCAATACCAACCTTGATCAAAGATTCAAACATAAACCTACTCATCAAGAATTGAACTACTGATATAATCCTTATACATAAGATATTGAGACCAATACTATTGTTTTATCGCAAGCATAAGTTATCTTCTCAAAGCCACAAAATGGCATGCTTCTTAACAAAACCTTCTTGATAAGCAAGTTTCCAAAATCAGCATAACTCTGTACACTCTTTTGTCCTCTTCATGACAACTAAGAGTGTTAAACAACCTCTCACACTCAATCATGGATTCAGTGCTATTTTAAATTTGAATAATATCACACACACTAACACAACGTACATCTTAGAATATGGTTCATCATTCAAGCAATCCGAAAATGCCCATTAAGACGCATGATCCAGCTTTTGAAAGAACGGTCTTGATTCAAGTCAACATTCCGCCCTGAATCAATTTCACAGACTGAGTCAGGATTCCATCCGACTCTGCGCCTCACCATCAAGTCCGCTCAATGATCCGGCTGACTCGTCTCAACATAAGTACATGTTTGATCAAAATACCATTATGTACCATTATTCTTTGAACCTGTCATGAGTTTAGCACAGTTATTGAACAAATCAATACTCGGCTCAATTTGTTTAGACAATGTACACCAGCAAATCATGAAAGCTGCATATCATCTAAAAACTTCACAAAAGCTGAGAACATCTGATGAAAAGTGCGGTATGAACAAGTTTAGCTTCACGTTCTAATTTCCGGACAGTACATCTATCAGAAGTAGGAAAATTTCAATTACAGAATAGCTGTCTCCAAGATGGCATTTGTCTTTGATGGCGAATGAATGGAAAGCTACACGTGCAGATCGTTCTCAAACCAATCAACCACTCAAACTGACTGTAGAGTCTAGAGACTATGTCAAGTATCAATAACCCACAGGCTCGATGTAATAAAACTATCTTGAACACAATCGATTCAACAGAGACAACCAAAATGTAACTATTAATCGACGGTGCCTGTTGTATAAACAGAAACAATCATCCCCGCGATGATGGTTTTTTTTTGTTTCTTTCCAGTAATTACCAAAAAGTCTATTGAAAAGATGGAAAGCTCTATAGGGAGCCAATACTGACCAATTATGACAAAAAGATTCAGCAGTTCTTGCATCCTGGCTGCTGATAGGTATTGAGAAGGATTGCTACCATATATACATCAAAATATTACTCATAAGGTTTTAACTGGTGGTGCACGCCATACACCAATTATGTACATATAAATGAAGAGATGCATTGCCGGATTTGATTCCAATGCCTATGAAGATGGAAGTTCTTCCTCTGAAAGCTCTCATTGCCACTGAGAAAAAGACTGACGAGAAAAGCAGTGTGATAATTGAACAAACCCACGAGTAAATTTTCCAGCCATCATTACATCAATAAGCCCCTATCTTCGATAACGAAAGTGGTTGAGAGAGAACTGCTCAAAACAAATCATCTGACAGCTACATTGACGAGTGGTTCCCAAAAAATCAAAGAGCTTTTCACAGCATATGGATGATTGGTTCCAAGTCAAGACGACCTTCCATTTTGGTTTGATGTATCAAGTCAGAACCCCATTTGAAACAGAAGGTGACCATTGGACTTGGTGAAGAAAAATTGAGTCACTGGATTAACTCAACCCATAGGTTCAATAACAATATCATTACAACTTCTTTGTGAATGAACAATTGAACTTGCTCATTGAGTACTGAGCTCTACCATCTCATCGATATGCTATGGATGCCAAATACTCAACTTGTGAAGCATTGTAGTGCCCATCAAACCAGTGAAGAACATTTTAAATACCAAAAAACTTTGAACTCGCCCGAATCAAATCCACATCACTGGATCCAATCCTCCATTCACACTTGATCTAGATCTCAGACGAACAGTCTTAAATCAATATTAACATCTGTGTTGAATCAATTTCAAAGACTGACTGAGAATTTCATTCGAGCTTCACTACCAACCTCGATGAACAAAGACTCTAGAAGCAAACTTACTCATTGAGAGCTGAACTAAATACAACCTTGACAAGACATCAGGATCAATACTGTAGTTTCGGTCGTTTCGTCACTTCTCCCTTTGAGCGTAAAATTTGCCTTACCCAAAAGAGCTTGACCTTATATTCTCAACGAGATGTTACATACAACGCTATCATTATATATCAGCCGATAGCTGTCCTCAAGATAACAAGGACTGTCAGGGGTCAGAGCCCAATCCTTTTAATCGTCGATTTTGATCTGCTGTCTCAAGAAAAACTTGCTCGTTCAGAATTATATCTAAACAAGTAGGACAAAGTTAACGAGATAGCTTGGGAATCCGATTTATCATTTGCGCGAGTGTTGATCAAATAGGTTAAACAATAGAACTGGACACGAAGCACCAGGAGTGTTGATATCACATTTCTAAGATCGATCTGCACATGACCCAGCTTGGGGAAGACTACACAATCACGAAAGAAATTTTTCAATGGACTAGTTCAACCCCACACTTGAGCCTACTCATTAAGAATCAGTTTCTTCTTCTTCAATCCCTGACTCATCTCAACCAATTGTACCTAATCATGAATGTAAGCTTCAACTTCCTCATGATGAGCTGAATTACACATTGATTACAAGTTGTTGCAAGTTGATCACATTGCTGAGTAATACTAATAGCGTAGAGCCGTTCTCAAGACGCAAGCGTTAAATGCCTGTCAGTCGGATCATTCCATCAAAAAGTTTCAAATACCTCTCACCTCTAAACTTGGATTTACTATATATTCTGTATCACTAGCTAACGCATCATAAGCTACAGCATTTGATTCATTGGTTATGAAAGTGTCTTTGTAGTTGATGGATTGCAATCACAGAAATTTTTGATTGGTACACGTTGACTAAACGGTAACCTCTTCACAAATTGAACCATCTAAGCTCAATAAGACATCATGAACATTTTCATTGTTTTGGTGCAGAACTACAAATGTTCTCAAAACCATAATGAAACTCCTGTTCCGCTAATCAACCACTCTACTAGAAGTCAGTATTGGTAGAGTTAGCAGTTGCCAACGTTTGATCTATCCACAAATGAAACATGGATCAAAAGCACATTCTCAATTGAAATCGTTCATTCAAGATTGATACCTAGATGAGAAACAAGCTACAACCACTATTGATTGATGTTGAAAAGCCAATGGTAGTTTATAACTAACAGAAGTAAGCATATCCACAACTCATGGATTGGAACTATCATCGTACACTGTCACACATCTTCCCTTCGAAGCTAAGGGAGACTTTGTTTGTATTTCACTCTCTTTGACCGACAATTCAGCTTGAAACATCAAGATCCTTTAAGATTGTCCAGTGTTAATATCACAACTCTGCAAAATGTAAAAATTGATTCCTTATTGCCGGAATAAATTTTGTCAAGTACATTCCCTGCTATCTGAACACTCGATTCAATTCAGATCAAAAGGAGAGATCGTCTTCTTCAATGAATCTCAACCATTAGCTCTTGTTTTGAACGCGAGCTTCACTCTACTCATGAACAGCCAAATCACTCATGACAAGACGCACCAAGTCATTTGCATTCCTATTCATTGAGATCTGGGCTACTTGCATAAAATCTTGAGAAGACATTAGGACCAACATTATTGACTTGTTGTGAGCATAAGATATGTTTTCAAAAACAATCAAAACCTTATGCTTCTTCACGACTCGTTTTGATGCGCAAGCTTTCAGAAATCGTCCTAACCTTGCAATTGTCTACAAATGCTGCTTGGAACCTTTAAGATAGTGAGAACTTACCCTTTTGATACACAGGTTAGGATTAAGACAGTGTGGAGGAAAGAAAAAAAAAAACAAATCATTGATCTGTTGACAAATTTCCAAATCCTCACCTGTTGATTGATATATCATAGACTGACAGAATCACTGTGACTCGACTCCTTGGAGAACAATACAAGTTGAACATTCGGAAGGATAAGTCACAAATCCAAAACATACTCCACATCATTTGATGATGGAAAGACCACACCAGTAGATCTAGCAACTATGAATTGATCAGATCGATGACCTTCGTTGTCAAATTCAAACCCGTCTAGTCTACATACCATATGGTAGCCACTGTATTGGTGATTCCAAATTCATAGGAATGAAAGTTGAGCTAGGCCCAGCAAATGAACCAATATGTGAAGATGCATGTGTAACATTGCCATAGAGCGCTCGCAACAAGTGGCTCACACAAGACCAGATCTGAATGCCTCAAGCATGCTTTGGAAATTAAGGAGTAAAAGAAAACTTATTTATAACTTTTCTTTTCTTTTGACCCCGGTGAGTGTCAGCCATGAGGAGTATTCTGTGATACTCCCATGTGTCAGCCATCATTTATGTACACATCGGTTCAGAGTTGTTAACACAAGCAATGAATTTCAGGTCATTACCAACCGTGAAAGCAACAAGACCCTAGTCCCAAAATAGGGTATTGATTGACTCCAAGAAGTAACCGATTGATGTTGCGTGTTTCAAGATCAAACCCTGATGACAGCATCCAGGGAAAACCCTGACAGTCTAGCTCAGAGCGAGTGACTTTTCTCTGATATATAAAACAAGGATTCTGTGCATCCAAACAAAGAAGAACAATCTTAACATTATACCGTACCACTTTTTACCGCAACTCATCAATGAATTAGCATTTTACATCAAAATCCTTCTTTGTTTATCTTTCATCTGAAAGAAGACTTATTTAGAATTCTTATCTTTTAGAATCCTTTATCGCATCTTCTTTCATATCAAAGACACCCTTTTTTTCTCTGAGTCACTATCTCTTTATCAATTGATGGTTTCCTTACTATTTGAATTGATATTGTAGATAGTCTCTCATTTTCCTTTTGATGATAAATTCATCAAACCAACGCTAAAGCGTCACCTAAGGAATAACTACGAATCCCTTCGTATTCACCTTAGAAGGCTACCGTCGTGATTGCACTTCGATAAGCTACTGGCAGCGGTAATCATCCCGCACCTAAGACAACTATACGTAACGACTATAGTTCCTTTTACTTACAAAGAATTGAAAAATAATCTCCCTCAAGTTTCAATAATATTGTCTAAAACTTGATAGAATACATTTTGTAAGTTTATCACAATTTGACAGGCCTTAGCAGGTAGATCATTGACCACTTTTTGAGTGGAGGTACATCTTGGAGAACTCCCATGCCAAACAAATATTGATCGCGAAAAGGAAAAGCAGCAAGAAGGCCAAAAGTCCACACCCAGAGTCGTCCACCTCCCAATCTTTTGGGGATAAGTGGTATCACAAAAGGCTCTACCAAGATAGCTAGAGGTTGGAGCATGAAATAAACAATTGATTCAGGAAACCAAGTTGAAAGGGCTAGGTTAGGATCCAGGCGCTGAGCAATTTGAAGTGCCGCTATGAATTCAAGAGATACAAAATCTTTCAGTAACTTCCAATATTTTGTAGGTAAAGTGTTGATGATCAGACTTACCGTATTCATGGAGGAATGCCGAAGAAGCAAACACACCAAACATTCCGGCTAATCTCAAAATTCGATGACTTGCTCCCAATCTCCTTACTAGCCAGGCAATGGGCAACCCACCACTGATTAAAAAGATCCTTTGTAATACTGTATGCCAACCTTTCCCCCAAAAGTGTGCGATCGAATTGGATTTATGTGGTGAATCGAAGATCGATGGAAAGTATTTTGGATCGCAAATCTCTAGTATCTCTTGAGGGCAATTCAACAATATTGCTATCTTGTGAACACATGTAGCCAGAAGGGCGAGAGAGTTAAACAAATTATCTACTGAGCATGCTACCCATATACCGAAGCAAGTGGTGTAAAGAGTCTCTGACAAGAGGTTTAATCCAGGAAAACTGGGAACATCCAATGACAGGAGAGCTGATTTGGGGCTACCAAGGCCGGCGTCACGAGTCAGTATGAGAAAACTGAGGGTGATAGTAAGACAAATGTTGACTCGAAACATCCTCCACAGCAACTCAAAAGTGCTTTGATTGTTTGCAGCAATGGCAGGACCGTACGTAAACTGAAGGCCTCGGAACCTGTGTGTGCACAGGTGTTTACACTATCAGTGATCAAATATATGTTATGAGGTGTGGTGATAAGCTTACGAAGTAAATTGTAATAATGTCCAACTCGCCAATTTGAACACGTCGCAGGGTTCAGCTTCTTGTAACTTTTTATAAGCTTCGTCACTTCCTTTAACTTTTTCCCATTGTTCCACACCATCTACTTTCACCAGGGTTCTCGTATAATAAGAGCCTTTCGCAAAACCCCACTCTAATGACTTGATGGCCATGCACCACAGGAATCCCATTTTGATTACATCTTTCATCATATCCGAGGGTTCGACAGATCTGGAAACGCATTGAAAATTCAAATTAAGCATGGTAAGGAAGTTGATTGGTGTCAAACTGATCCGTATCATACGAGACAGGCCGGAATGAGAAAAAGACGGATGGAGTAAAGCACATTGAAAAAAAGTAAAGTAAATGCTATTAATGGTGATGACACATTGAACTTAGCCACCGCCGAAATAATATGTGTGGCGACAATACTTTCTTGAGAGAGATCAATTGTGCTATTTCTAGGGTTGAAAATGGATGTCATGGAGGAAAGCATTTCAAGATATAGAAGAAATTTTTCACTCGAAGCAGGAAGAGTGACGAGGAGATACAAAGGTCAAAATGTCAGTGGCGCGATATATAGGAGAACGGTGATACCACACAGCTATCCTAAGACTCAGAGTCAGACTCGAATGTGGTCAAAATATACCCACGCGTTGAACCTCGAAAAAAATAAATATCACGCAAGCTGATATGAGGCAAAAACATACGTCCAAACTGATCAGCTCTCGTACAAAGTTGCTGCAGCACCCTCGATATGATCGACCTGATTTCACGAGCGAGCTCGTTTCTTCTCCAAGAGAGGACTTGTTTAAGTTAACAACATGAACTTGTCCGGCCGCTTCTGCGAGCGGAGATGAGCCTAAGTTTAAAATGAAACCAGTGTTGCGCAAGACCACCAGCTTCTTTGTAGCCCATCCTAGATCTCTATGATAAAAATCTGACCGGAATTTATACGCGCTTCAAAGTATCCCGGATGTCTAAACTCATATCGATTTTGCTTGCGAACAGGTACATATATCACAGTTTATCAAGGTGGATAAATAAATATCCAGGAAAGAACCTCCTTCAAAGCTTTCTATGTATCTACACATCACTTCCAATCACATCACCGAATGCATAGCCTTATAACTTGTCTTGAATTCATCTTCTTTCATACCTCTTGCAATCTTATCTACACTCCAATCCCCGCATCACTGAATGAAAAACATCTTCAAACTTCGATAATACATCCTTCTTTCAGTGCGAACATCCCACAAGATATGTACAACTTACGTTTCATTTTTATCTCACCTTTGCAAGAAAATCTTGATGCATTTTCTTCCTTCCATGATCCAAAAAAACATCCTCAAACTTTTTTTAAATACTTTTTCCTGAACTTATGAATTTAATCCTATGTAACCTTATTTTTTTGTCACACAGACACTTCTTCAGCCAATGTTTCTTGACACGGACATTAATTTATGTAAGAGATAAGAAGATATCATACAATATTATCATACATGAAACCTTGAGATATGATCAAAAACTACAATAAACAAACTGTCGATCTATAGTACACATATCAAACAATTCTCCACAAGTCGAGTTTAATCTTACACGTCGGAATATGTTTGCTAACTTGGAAAGGAGTCAGCTGATCATTGAATCTAGTGTCACGTGTGTAACCCGTTCCTTAATATTTACCAAGTCAAGTTCAAGAACCGAGGTCTTAGGTGGAGTAATGACACAAGAAAAAGTATGATGTTATTGTACCCGAGTGAATGTCCATGCTGCATCATGGTGTGGATGTAGATATCGTCTTGGTCATCATGAAGTACATAAAGGTTAAACCCAAAAGGCCACGTCTTTGAGTGATAAGAAATTATGGTAACAGAAACAGAATCTTCATAGTCAAGTCATTGATCAAAGATTGTAAATATAACATGAACCTTTACCAGAAGCTAATTTTTCTGACTACATATTGGACATTATCATAGTCAAGGTCAGAGAGTTACTACGCTGATACAAGCAGTTTGAGGTTTCTTTATGCAATTGGGACACATGAATTTCTTTTGGTGTTCAACAGAAGACTCATAGGATGAAGACTTGGATCTGTTGATTGTGAAAAGATTAAGTGATCTGAAAATTCAGGTATACTGTTCATGACAAGGACTCAAGGTGGATTCCTCACAGACTAGAAGAATGGTAAGAATGCTGAGTCATACTTTATTAACAAGTTGAAGTGTCCGTGTTTTAGGTACTATAACATGAAGGTGTGCCTTGTGACATGGCACATATAAGGTAACAGTTTATAAGAAAAAGAGAAGACATAGTGTAGTGAAGCGCAGACAATGAATGGAAAACACCGTGATGGAAAAGTGCATGTCTTAGAGTAAACCGCCAGCACCAACGAGACCATGAGCACTGAAGAGATCTGTGACATCTAGAGTCAAGAGAACTTGAATGTTGATACCAACAACTGAAAAGAGATTAAGATCAAGACCAATGCTGGAGAACAAGCTAGAAACATTGATGTTCAAAGACACAAGAATTCCTGTAACGATGCGGAGACATGAGTAGAGGATGTTGAAGTCCGCTGATGGAGAGAAAACAAACTACATCAGTACCAAGTAAGAGTAGCAAGATGGAATTAATCACTGACATTGACATTGTGGGATGTAGCTGCTGTAGCTCTGGGTGATGATGGTGATCATGGTTTGGAATTGTTGGAAGACTGGTGTAATGGCTGAGGTGAACTGTTTAATAAAATGACCCAGGTGAATAATTGTAGGTTTAACACTACATGCAAAAAGAAAGAGAAAGAAAAGAGTCCAAACTGACTTGGTGGGCATTTGATGCCTGGCACACATTACATCCGCCAGCGTTGGAAAATTGAGTGACCATAGCTTGGAATTGGATAACCATAGTATGAATCTATCAATAATTTAATTTTCTGCCCAGAAAATATTATCTTTCTTGTAGTGTTAGCACAAATAGTACCAAAGCTTTGAAAGCTTTCGGTGACTTGTGTAAAGCTGGTGTACTGTTGGTTCCCAAACACGTAGCCACCTCCCCAGGTAGCTTGACCGAGTGATGCAACTCCATGGGAAGAACCACAACCAGAGAAGCACTTTTCATCTACAGCACTTTTCACATGACTGTTTGATTCGAAGAAAACGATTAGCCAAACGGTTATGAAAAAACATAAGGTGAAAACGTGTACTAACGTGTTTTGCTCGATGGGCGAAGCAGCGGCAAATGCTATGCGAGAGGACAATAAAGAAAATCACAATCAAAACAAAGCTAAGAAGTTGATGGCATTCTAAGAAATAAAAACTCAAGACTTACTAGCGAGGGCAGCAACAAAAAAGCTAAGCGTGAAATGCATGATGAAGAGATTGATTTGGTCTATTAAACAAAGTAAATGAAGTTTGCGTTTTTTTGAGTTTATATTACGAGTGAAGATATGAACAGGTATGAACAAGGAGATGAGATGATTGGAGTGAGGAATGAAGGATGCACTGAGAGGTTGACCTTTTATACTCGAAGAGCTCCATTTCCAACTCAGGGTGACTTCAGAGAGTCAAACGCGTCCACCCCGCATTGGAAATGTTGAGCGATTGGTCAAGCCGCGGAATCACCCTTCTTCTCGCGTCCATCTCATGATCGATATAATTCCCGTTGCATGCTTGTATCTCCCTCATGAACCTCGATTGGACCGACTTGATCTCTGAAGATATAAAAAGCTTCTCGATTCTTGAATGATTTCAAACGATTTGATATTTATATTTCAGGACTTTCTTGCGTGTAGGACGAGCGCGGAGACCTGGCAGTGGCTGGAATCTAGAATCGCTGAGCTGATAGAAAGTCGAACGCCTTCATCATTCCGCCAATTGCTTGATATAGCTTGATTGCTTAAATTTCTTCCTCTCTCATCCTCACATCTGACCTTTGTGTGTGAAATTTGAATCGTGCAACGTATCAAATTATTCACAGCCACCCAACCATCAGCTTGTTTCGCCTTGATCGATTCAGTTTTCAATTCGTCATTCTCGTACAAGTCGATAGCGTTGCCCATATCTCTGTAAACGTGACACAGACTCCAGAGTCCTCCCAGACATGTTTCTTCACCATTCGCATCCTATCCTTTTGCCATTGCCCAACCCAAGTCCTAGGTTTTGGTTGCCTTGTCTGGTCCTCTTTACCTCTACTACAATGAAAAATCACCACCACCGAATTCATCTCAATTTGCTACAGCGTGTTATATCTACATCTTGAGCTCTAACTTCAGTCAACACCCTCTGATTACATACAGCTTGGCAGGTGGATTTTTAATGCACTCGAAGAAAGTTGCACTGAGAGACCTCATTTTGGCTGAAAATTCCCACTGTGAAAGCAAAAACTCCTATGCACTTAAATAATTATGCACTTTACAGGGGTACCAACTTAGAGGGAGTTGACTGTGCTTCATTGAAGTTCTATCAAGTTCATTTCTGGATTTCTGGTTCAACCAAGTCTGCCTATAACATTCACGTGGTTGAACCAGATCAATGACTCATTCAATATATTTTAACACTTCGATCATTTTTTCTGTCTTTGTTCTTTTGGGTTTCTAGCCTCAGGAGGAGTCTAAGGATGTATGATACCACTCATATCTAGGTATAGAGTGCCTGATTGTGCACAAACAAGTAATCATCAATTGGGTCAGATAAAACAATTTCTGGTGAAGGTACAGTTGATGAGTGTTGATCTCACAACAAAATGGACTTAAAGTGTAAACTGGAGGAATATAAACACAGCAACATGTGAAGTGTATCAAAACCAAAACCACAGATCACTTCTTAAAAGGCTCTCCACTTTGCATAAAAGTTTTGATTCAATTTTGTTCTGTTTTGATCAAAGTTCAATTAGCAAATGATACCAATGTCCAAATTTTGGGTGGATTCTTCAGATCCTCAAGTGAAACTTCCAGGTAAAATGAATTGAATGTGCTCCAAATCAACCTCAACTAGCTAGTATTTCAGCTCTATTTTGGGGAAATCATATATCATCCAGGGATGCAGCAGTGAGTCTACTCCGACTCACTTGCCGCGCAACCTGACTCGGTACTCCACTTGAGTACCGAGACACGTGAGTTACAGAGAGAGTCCCGGACTCCCCTTTCAATTGATGTTAGAGTCAGGCATGAGTTCAAGACTCAGCTTGGCCCCGTATGTAAGTACTACAGTGGCTAAGTACTCACTGAGTGAGTAGACTCACCTGAGAGACTACTCACTATGAGTCTACTCATTGTGAGTAAGATCGAGTGTACTCATGAGTAATGAGTACACTCAATCGGAATGGGGTAGCAAACTGGTTTGGGGAGGTGATATCAAATTGTATTTAAAATTCCTTAGATAATTTTGTAAGAGAGGGGATAATCATGTGTTAAAAAGAACCACGGTTAGATCATTTTGTAAGAGAGGGGATAATCATTTGTTAAAAAGAACCACGGTTCAGAGGGAAAAACAATAACGGTTCAGAGGGAAAAACAATAGAGGACAAAACGGCAGGGCCCTTTGAAAACAACGCGTGACTCAGAGTCAAAGCAGACCAAATAAAATCAACATGTCTAAGCCACATCCTCCACATTCACAGTCGCCTCCCAATTCGTAAGCCAGTGTCGGACGAGTACAAGGTGGCAAATCGTCTCAGGGTCGAGGCGGCCTCGGGAAGGGACGGCTATGTTGCCCGAGATAGAGAACACCCTCTCGACTGATGCGCCAGCTGCCGCGATCGTGAGGTGTTGAAGGGCTATCTGAGCCAAGACCGGTAGTCCCGAAGGCTTGGACATACGCTGAAATGAGGACGGTGGTCAGCTTGGTTCTGGGCGCTCAAAGGATTAGGAAAGTTACTAACCACCCAGAACTCCCCAATCGTTTCATTGGGGAGCACAGGATCCAGGCGTTGTAAGTATCGCGTGACTTCGTCCATTTCATGACTGGAATGGCTCGAAGGTTGAATTGCCGAGGTACCCAAGAGAGAGTAGATTTCTTGAAGTTTCCTGTCGGTGGTTTTTTCGGCTGAGCAGGAACAGGAGGAGGGGTCTCGCGGCCACTTTCCGTGGGGCTGGGCTTCCAAAGGTCGTACTCGTCTCGAAGGCAGCGCTTGGCCTGGACTTCTACCTCTAGATGATTACGAAAGATTGAGTCTCTCTGGACCGGATCCAGGAGAGTTGCAACCAAGGTCTGCATGTTGCACTCTTCGCGGTCGAGATACTTCACAAGTTTGTCTTCCGCTCGTTTGCAAGCTCGGCCCCAAGCTCCTGGAACACTCTGGTGTTTCTTCAAAACCGTTTGAAGCGCCCAGAGTACAGGAAGAACCAACTGCTTAGTTGCGTCATTGGATTGAAAAATCTGAGTCGCAGTTTCAAACATCTCTAGAACAGGGTGCATATACTCGATAGTTGACCAGTCCGCTTTTGAGATGGCCAGGTGAGTCCTTTTCGGGTCCGCAGTGTAGAGTTCAAGTGACTTTCTGAGGTTGAGGGTTCGTTGGACCTGAAATGAATCATGGAATGGTAAGAAATGGTCAGATTGGAACCAGTTAAAAGACTCATTGACCAAAAGCAGGGCACTTACCACATAATAGAAATAATTCCAGCGAGTAGGAGGGCAGCTGAGGGGAAGAAGTTGTGGATCTTCGACTTCATCGCGGATCTTGATGAACGACTCAAGCTCCTGAGGACTTTTTCTGATGTGAGTATCCAAAGCACGGATGCGGGTGACTATCGTCGACTTTTTCTTGCGGGCGGTGAGGAGGACAGTTGGCGAGTCTTCTAAGAGTGAATCTTCTGGGGCAAGGGTTTCTTCGTTGTTCAGATGGGACAGGTCGACATCGGTATCTTGGGTCTGGGTCGGGCCGTGGACCTCGAGGGAGGACTGAGAAAGCGAAAAAGAGTTTTGAGGCCAGGATTCGGTGACAGGTACGTTGTAGTCGCCCGTGATAGGTAATTCGTCAGGTTCAAAAGAAGCTCGCGGTTCGGCCATCCCCGAGGTTTCATACGCGGCAATGTCCTCGTCCGTTAGCTGACCCATACCATCCAAGAAGTCCTTTGCCACAAGATTGATCACGTGGCACATGCAGCCATGGAACCTCGATTCAAACGGCCAGTGGATTCCAAGAGTGGCATAACGGTCACTTAAAAGCTTTGCCATTGCACGGTTCGAAGAGGCATTGTCCCCGGTGATCGAGTAGTGATTCCGAAGTGCGCCAACATGCTCCAGCGCCTTCCAGTAAGCCTTGGCCAGGTTGTCACCAGTATGTTTCCCCTCGAGCTTCTGCCACATTGCAAAACAAGGCTCATTAGGCTCCAATTCCGTTCGCATATGTAATTTCTTTTCAGAAGGGCACTTACTTTGAACGCCAGGAGCCGACGACAGAATTTGCCTTCCGAGTTGAAGAAAAAGCCATTGATGGCCATGTACGTATGAGAAAAGTCGGCGCTGGTCCAACAGTCCGTCGCAGTCAAAATTGAACCAGGAACCGAAGCAACCTCGTCCAACAGTTTTTGTTCCAGATCCAAAAAAAGAGCCTCTGAGTCAGCTTTGACAGCCATCTGAGCCGGCCAATAAAACGATGGTGCAATAGCGCGAAGCGCCTTCTGCATTAACACGCCCTCAAAGATAGAGAAGGGTAAATTCTTGCTAATGACGGCCCCGACGAGCAGGGTTTGTAACTCTTTCTTTCGATCCGCGGCGACAATGGGATCGCTTTCCGGTTCGATGGCTCCAGGTTCGTGGTGGTACCAAGCAAGCGCCAAGCCGGGGCACTTGCGTCTGTGCTTGTGCAAGTTCAAATTCGGACGGCCGGAAATCGAAAGCACAACACTGCAAATACGCAGTTAAAGTTAGCTTACAATAAGTATGGGCATTGCTATCCGTAGGTTGACTTACGGACAGTGAAGACAAGGGTACGACATCACACCCTCACCCTTGGACTCGTCTGGCGACTTGTTGGGCTCCTAACAGTGTACGTTGGTCAAATACGCACTGAATCAGCATGAAAGCTAGGTGTTGATGAGACCGGTCGAATTACTCACATCAAAATACAGGTAAACATCTGATCGGTGTCGGTGAGATCTCAACGTCGCCTCCTCGCCATCGACATCCGTAGTATCTTGCACGATGAACGATTTCAGTCGCGATCTTGGTGTCGCATTGACTCGGTTGGAAGAGGATGAGACTCGTGAAGCCATTCCGACACCAACACGAGACGTCGGCGTTATACTGGAGGCTGAGACGACCCGCGACGCGGACATTGGGGTCACACGTCGAGCATAGGGTGACACCAAGGCGGGGGGAGGTGATTTGGCCATATTTTGAGGCATGCTGGCTAGGTATTTGGAAGGTCTAACAATTGAGAAGGGAAGAGAATCACGATTAAGAAAAATGGACGGGTGAGAGTAAAAGAATCTCCAACAAGGGAAAAGAGAAATGGGAGAAACGTAAGGGGGAGTTGTACAAGAAAGAAAATTATAAATATGGTAGCGAAATTTTTTACCTGAGGTCATACGACCAATCCAAAAGCCCAAAAGCCTCGATATGAGCATTCACCCAAGCCAACGCCGGCCACAACACCTCGATCTGGCCACCAGGATCTATAGATTCTGTTCCCATGGGTCGATTGATGTTAATGAAATGAATTAAGAGATAAATATGATTCAAATGTCTAGTCTAGAAGGTCAAGTCTACAACGTCAAGCCACTCATCGAGATTACGAAGGCCAAACAGATGGATGGATTGAGGATAGGGCCTGAAGAGGTATGGCGAAGGTGGAAGGTGTGGAAGTGGGCAAGACGTGGTCGATTGAGATTCGATATTGAATTTAAGGAATAGAGGTGGTGGCGGTATCTTGAGAAGGTGGATATCGATATCCAATTGATGGTTGATAAATAATCTGGATTTGATCGATGAATGGGGATCTGGTGGAGGCATTGTTTGGCTGAGTATATGGTGAGTATATACTCATCCAAACAAGGTGGCCGGTGAATGTGGGTTAGTGAGTCTTTGGCCCGGATGAAGGGCGAGATTGAGTACGTGTATTCTATTTACACATACTACTGAGTTTTCCGAGATGGAGTACGACTCATACAGTCAACCCCGGGAGTACATGTACTCGCGTACGGGGCCAAAACCCGTCCTCAGTGAGTATGAGTTGGGTATACTCATACTCACTGCTGCATCCCTGATATCATCTCATTTTCATCTATCTCATTGTCACCACTTGACACCTATCAACGCTGAGACAGCTACGCTACAACACGCTACCATGCATTTTGTATGTAGCGTAACTGTATGCAGTTAACACAGATCTGACCTTTATGATAGTGTAACTTGTCAAGTTACGCTACGCTACAAGCTACTGTAGCTGAGTTTTGTGCCTCTACACTACGCTACAGAGCCAAAATTTGGTTAGCTGAAGATTTTCTGGGACTCTGCATAGGGTAGCTGGGATTCATTCATGCTGATTCCTGCTAGCTGTAGCTTTGCAGCATGTTTCTAGCTACGCTATCTTGCGCTATCAGCTACGGATATATTAGCTGTCTCAGTGTTGCGCCTATCAAATACTTCACATTGCTTGCTTTGCATTAGTCTATCTCCTACACTCAATATGACTCATAATATTTTTTACTGATCAAGATGTGTTCCCAATGCTCAACTTCAATCAAAATTTTCATGCTGATGATATCTCAATAGTCACCACTAACATCATTGAGTGGAAGAATCCCACACACTGGAAACAAGAGATGATTTTCCCGTGGGAAGACTGATTACAATTAAAGCACAGAAATAATGCCAAAATAATACATTTTTGCTTATCCACTGTCTTCAACACAATGGGTTTCTGCATGGAAAAATTGCCTCTTGTTTCCTGTGACACCAAGGTTTTTTGCCTTGAAACAAAAGTGAGTTGAACAAAGCTTTTGGTTTGATAATAAATTGGTATAGAAGATCAGCTCCATTTCAAATACTATGAATGCATAGTCCAACTTGTTTTTCTGTATATCTTGATATCATAGGGCATTTCTAGGGATTATCTCCTCTTTCCTTTTGTCAATTTTGTTAATCTTGATGGAATTATCTTCCAAGATTTTTGATCAAAACTTCTTTGAGTATATGAGTTTTGTTTAGAAGATGAGGACTCAGTAGTGATGAAGTTTCTGGTTTTTAAACAAAATAGATACAATTTAATTTTTCTCACAGAACCTGGAGATAAACACAGAGGAATTGGGTATAAAAGTGAGAGAGGAAGAGAAAGAAGGTGACATGAGGGAGTCAGAGATTTTCTTTCTCACACCACTGGTGAGACTCTGGTTGACCACATTCTAAAGGCCTCAACTCACACACACGGGCTCTTGCCCTTTGCTGTGTCTACTCCAACAGTCCCATGGACTGTAGAGTACTCCGGCAAGCTTAGTGGACTCTTGCCTTTCACCTGGGCTGGGGCTCATCCTGACTGTGGATATTAATCAATAATCAATCACTGAAGAAGTGCCCACTTGCCCCTCTTTTGCAGTACTGACCTCAGCCCCTGTTGCCTGAGGGAATGAGATCAGAGCACAAACTTGATCACCCAACACACAGCTAGAGCAATTGGTTATATAATCCAGTACTGGAAGAGCCATAGCTCATTATAACCACACTCACACTCATACCATCACTTTACTGGAGAAGTATGTTCAAAGCTCTCCATCTATGTGATACTAGCTCACAACCAATCAAATCCTTTCAGTACATCAAGATATTGTGACCATAGATTAAGTTTGCCAAGTTTGGCAGAGCTGTGGCTCATTCTAACCACACTTATGCAACAAGCAACTTTCACTGGAGAAGTATGCCCAGACCTTTCTAGCTTTGTCATACTAAACCACAAACAACTCAATTATCTCAGCACATCAAAATATTGAAGCACAGTCTGGATTTAGGACTATCTCATGCAGGTTTCAGATATTGAGTGAGTTTTGCAGACAAAGTTTTTGGTAGTACAAGCTTGAAATGATAGAGTTAGGCACCACAAACAAGACAAGAAGAACATGCAGGGGGTTGGGCTCTTCTGAAGTTTGTGCTTAAGGCTATGGCACATCCCTGAGCTATGTGGTGGCTGGGCACCAAAGACTTAGTTGCTATCAGCGTGTTCTGAACTCACATAAGGGTCCTGTTGTAGGCAAGAGGTGTTGCCTGTTTCTAACCTCCAAGAATGTGAGTAGGATCAATTGTACAATGGTCCCTCTTCAAGGTCAAGGTCTTTTGCTTTTAAGCTTGGTTGCTTTACCCAAGCTCAAATCCTCTTTTGTTTATTTCATCTCTAAAATCTCAGAGGGATCTTACGGAATATCACTCTTGTCTTGATCCTTTTGCTCTGATACATATACTTGGCAGATGATGGGAGTGTTGCAAAATGCTCCTCATAGCGGATACATACAAGCTTGATTCAAAAAGTTGATAAACTTGTTACTTAGACTGAAATTGTGTCATTTGAGTCACAAAGTGACCCATTCCACAAGAGTGTGATGACCTACATGATCACTGCATGATATGTTGCCAAAATTTTTGCTTTGAGAAAAGCCCATTGAATTTCAACATATCCATATCCCCACAAAACTTGGTGATTAGTATGGCTCTTTTTCAATCCAAAATAACACCAAGCTAACAAATCCTGAGCTCCCATTCAGGCCTGACAGAGGTTTGTCCAGACCTTGGCTTTCACCTGTTGATGGAAAATGTGTGTTGTGTAGGGTTGATATTTCAACCACAAAAAAGACTGCACATCTTTCAACTTTCTGTACCTTCACATTCAAATCTGTTTCTCTGAGATCCCCCCAAAAGAACTCGAGGCAAGGCTTTCCCAAGAGCAGATGGACTTATGTAGTTGGTAAGAAAGCAGGTCCCCTTCTTTGAAGTCTCCTTGGGGTAACAATGAGATTAGTACTGCCACCTCCGAGTATCAAATGAGTAGAACATATTACAAGTCTATCAAAAATCCATCTCTATGACCATGTTGCTATTCCTTCCTTCCATGTAGCACAAACTCCCAGTCTTGAAGATCATCAATTTTCTTCAACACCTATATACCCTACGAATTTGGTGCTAGCATTACCTATCACTGTAGAAATCAATTATATCATCTTGCAAGTGATGATTTCCATAAAATCTAGAATATTCCCTTCATTCTGAATCAAAAGATACATCAACACCATGGTGATACTTCAATTCTTCTTAAACCGAGCTTGAATCCATTTATCAGTCTTAGGACTGAAACTCCATTCTTTTAAATAAGGTCCAAATTGATTCAAAATACCTACACTTCCATCATTCAAACCTACAAAAACCAATTCATATTGAACAAAGCAACAACTTTCAACTTTCACAGTGCTACATTCTGACAATTCCTAGTCGAGCACTTACGTGTTAACAATGGAGTCACAAATTCGTCCATACTTTCCCTCAATTCTGCGTCTCTTATCCTCTTCGCGCCATTATCAGTTTGATCATCATCATTTTGGTCTTGATGATTCGAAGTAGCCCCATATTCATCACAAATAGTTAAACTGAAAGCTTTCACGGTTTCTAAACATTCGATTAAACATTCCATCACTCTTGGTATCTGATCTTGAGCAACTCCATACTGATCTTCCGTCAAGGAAGCGCACATCAAGTTTGTCACAGCTATTCGTAGATGTCAATTATACAAAGGTTCAAGGTATAAGATATCATGGGATCAAAGAGGTAAAGAAGTTCGAGAAGCCTATCAGCATCTTTGCAACAAGGTGCCTAATCGGTACTATATCTTTGGAAAAACTGACCTTCAACAGCTAAAGCGCATGCTCTATGATTATCCAAAGTTCGTCTCAATTCCATTCTTACAGATGGTAAGAATAACCAATTCTCAAGACTTCGAATTCGTTCAGATGATCCGACCCCACGAATTTTTCTAACCATTTCCCAACCTTTAGGGATGATCTTTTGGGTACGAGAAAAGCTCTCTGCTTTTATCATTTCTTTCTTGGGGGTGCTTGGAGGAAGTGCCAAGGAAGATGACTTGCTCTTCGTATCCGCGATCGAACGATCTAGTTTCCGAGGGCTTTGAAAGATTTCAGGCATTTGATATCCATTACTGGTAGGTTGAACTGTCGGAATACTGGGAGTGGATGTAGTCTCTGATCCAGTTTCTGCTGGAGATGTGAGCAATTTGGATAGTAGTGTCTTTTTGAGTGAATCCGATTGTGGCTGAGCGTTGAAAAGTTGTGGTAAATCTTTTACTAAAGCAGGACGACCATGATCACTTGTTTTGGTATTGAGTGGTGTGGACATAGCCTGTGTACCAATGGACTCGACTATTTATTGCAACATAAACAAGCGTGAGTTACGATGTTAGGTAACACCTACATCGAACATGACATCAAAACTGACCAGGTGGTGGCATTTCGCCACGACTGATGACCATCCTTTGGGTAGCGCTGATCACACTAAGACATTCTTCAACAATCGCATTGAAAATCTTGCGCTGGGTTCTGATATCTTGAAAGATGGTGACTCGTCGAGCAGGATCACTCCAGGAGATTTGTGCAAGTTCAACAATGGCATGGTACTGGCGAGCGGGAATGTGAGATCAGAATTTACCAAAAAAAGGGAAAGTAAAACCAACAAGATGTTTACCTGAATGCGCATATCAACAGAACGTAGACCCTCGAGTAAACACCGGTTAGGCTCTTCGGCAAAATGAGAGATCGCAAGTGGTTGGGTTAAATAAACTTCCCAAAAAGCTTGAACAACTTCCCAACATGAGACCATCAACCAGTTCAACATCACCAAACGAAGGTTAGAGGTAAAAGTAAAGATTGAATTAAACTTGATCATCATCACTAAATGTGGCTTAATGAACTTGGTTAATTGAACATATTTCGAGAATACGATTGCTCGAATGAGGTATCGACGACAAATTAGATAGAATGGAAGGAAAGGGGCAGAGCAAAGAAAACTGAAGCGATTGGCCCGGGTGAAAACTGTTGGAAGAGTTCTCAAAATGCGCTGAGATATCATCAACTGTGCATGTAAAAATCAATCCAATGAGCATTCTAGCTTCTTTAGCAAATGGTAAGGTAGGTTGAGAGGCACTTCGAGGGGGTAAACTCACGCCTTCGGGCTGATCCGCACGTTTGGATGGAAACCTCTGTTCATACGTCAGCAAGAAAGAGTAGTAAAATGCGCAGAAGAGAGCTGAGGCCGCAAGGTAGATTGGCCTTTCGTTTATCTGACTTGCTCCACGCCTGAACAAATTGTCTATGATGAGTAATCGGCCACGTGTAAGGCAAAAGATATCAAACAGGACAATCCATGGCGTACCCCGGCATAGTTTTGAATAACTTCAAATCAGGTTCCTCATTCAGCGCATTTGCAGCTGCAACATAGCAAGTCCAAAGTAGTAAGGAACTGATGCTAAGAAGGACACATGCGGCGAGATGTTGAGCAGAGCCAAGGACCGCGACTATAGATTGATACCGTGTCAAACAAGAGCTGGGTCGCTCTATTCTCGATTGATTTTTGATGTACGAGAAATCATAAGTCTGCTTGCTGAATGCTACCTGACCGGGGATTGAGAAATTGCGCACTCTGACGTTGACTCCTTCGTAACATCATCATTGGGATCGTTACGCTCGCCCACACCGCTCCGCCCATGATCCAAAATGGCACTCGTAAGAAATTCCAAACAGCAGCTACATGAACGGAATACAACATTCGAGCGATCAGCGTCTTCATAAACCCATCTTAACTGAAGACTTTTTCTTTGCGAGATTTATGAACTGTACCAAACCTTCACTCACGCGACCCATCTAACATTGATACCCATAACAATCCTAAATTCGTTAAAAAAGTGATGACGCAAAAGTGACATGCTCGTCTTCGCAACACCACCTATAGATTCGGACAGATGATTCGATTGCAAGGTTTTTCCAGCTCAGCTTTGAACTCTGAATTCATGACTGATAGTTTTGCCTAGACTGACATAATAAATTCGAGTGTAGCTGTCCTTTATATTAAGTTTCTGGGTATTCATCACGTCGGATTCGAAAATCTGGGAGCCGCGATTTGATGCAAGATAGTTTGCTACTGAACCGCAAGCAGTCAAGTTGAAGACCAGATTGATTGAAATGAAAGGGATTTGACCAAAATTTGTTTCTTAAAGAATGGTCAACTCAACAGTGCATGCGATCGGTCAAGGTGTAATTTTGTTAGGTCTCATCAATACACTTAAAGCCATAATAATTTGGTCGTTTTGTTTGATCAAAAACTCCAAATAAGACTCAGCCGGACTTAAGCCTTCTCACATTTTATGGGCACTCAGAAACCACGACTCCCTCTTTTGACTACCCAAATGATAATTGTTTCTGAACAGAACATACATAAGAGTGCACAACTTTATGATCTTGGTACCTCGAAGTATTTTGGTACATATCCTAAAAACCCATGTCATCTTGATAATCTGGGGCCTCAATCAATTTATTGGGGATCACCACGAGTGTAGTTGTATGTGACTCATATCGCTCTTTGAAAGCCCTTCCATGAAGTAAAGAACCAATCAGAGTGCATGGGTGTATGTAAAAGAAGAAACCGTCTGGTTAGGGCTCTAATCAAAATATTGGAAACTATAGGCTGTAATTGTTCTATTTACAACTAGTGCCAGTGGCTAACAGCAAGAGGTCATCCTAAAAGTAAGGGAGAGAAGCGGCGTGTCTTGAGGACGTGGACGATATCTTAGCGTATGAAGAAAAGAATGGGGTTTCCAGAAGCTCCAGCTTCTCTTGGATGCTATAAGAAACAAAAGCCATACATAATCAGAATCAAAGAGAGTATTCGAAGAGGTTGTAAATTGTAATAATTTATTGAATTCTTGTTGAGCTGAACGGGGTTGAAAGAAAACGAATTCCAAGAAATTACACCATAGCGATTCCATGGCTAGACAGTCAGTTATGTCAAACAGGTTGAAAAAAAGAAATACTTATTAGTCTGAGTTCTAAGCGGATACGGTTCTGAGGAAATGCAGGAAGGAAAGAGATCTTACGTGGGTGCACAGTTATGACAAGCTATGAGCAAAACCATTAATCATGCGTCAAGGGACCCAGGATCAGTTTTTTGTCAAAAATTCAAGAGGAAAGTAAAATTGTAACGTACTTGCAAAAGTTCCACTTTTAGCACGACTCTTACAGGCGTAAGATTCAGTCTTGGTATTGCAAGCTATAGGATGCGGGAAGGTAGAAGAAAGTGATCCTTTGTAAGTATCACTCTTCCAAAAGGGGCGAGATCAAAATCTACGAAAGCTTCCACCCACCAATGAAATTCTGAGCATAATCGTAATAATCAACGGTACAAACAACGCTGGCCACAGCTGGATTGCTGGATCCTCTTATTAGCGGTCTTCCTACGAAGTCAGTCTTGTCACCCAAACGATAACACTCCTGTCCGACTATTCCAATACAAAATTTCAATCTCTTGCTTTACTTTTGGCATCCTCGATGATATATGACTCTCAGACATACTTGTGAAAGGTCCCGCGCAACCTCCAGTACACATATAAGCGTAGTTACACCCTGATCATCAAGTATTCAAGCCACCAAGAGAGATGTTGTTAGATCGAGAAGTATCCAGAGAAGCACTGCTCTAAACAAACTTACATGCTCCCTGCGTATCGGCATCGCTATATTTTGTGCATTGCATCGTTCCACCCTTCCCGGTAACCAGTCGAGGAGTGATTGATTTTACCAATGGTTTACCAGGTAGTTTCGCTACATGTTTAGAAGAAGGTTTGGAAGGCTTAGCACGTTTAACTGTATGTTTTTTGGGAAGATGTTTAACGACATGTTTATGGAGGGGTTTTGAATGTGAATGTGGATCACGTTTTGGTAAAACTTTGAGGATAGATTTGACTGCATGATTAACGGGAGCTGGAGTTCTGCGTTCTGCTTGGTTAGCTGTTGAGAATTGTAAGACACTTAGTAATGTGAAGAAAAGAGCTGAAATGATGAAGTATTTCATGATTAAAGAGTTTGGATGAACTAAGGAGTGATTGAGGTCGACGATAAACTAAAGAATAAAAGGCTGGTACGGATGAAAACGTTAGAGTTTGGAAAGCGGCTGGAATATGTACCCTCCGATACGCACAAAATGTCTGTCCTTTTTTACAAGTCTAATATTTGTATCGAGATATCAGACACCCTTTTTCAGAATGACAAGAACGAGTTGGGAGCTGTTGGGAGTGGCTACCGTTGTGGTTGATCTTTGTGCTCACGGACAAACTTCTTTTGTGAGCTTGGGGTAGGCATGTAGAGCGACAAATTTAACAATGCGTATCCAAATCATCTCGAAATCACACGCTGGACCCCAAGGAGTTGAGGAAAGATATCAACGACGATGCGATCCTCCCAATAACGGACAAGCAGTGTGATAAAATTTCGCAATCTGGGGATCTAGCCGGCGTCATACGGCTTGTGCTTTCCGGATTGAATCAAGCTCGATGAGTCAAACGAAGAGAAATGCATCATTCGCAGACCAATCGTTCATTACAGAATACAAATTTACCTCAGATTTAACGCGGATTACCTGAGATGAAAAAGATAACGGCTTGGCACCGGCCGCTGGGCTACAGGTGAGAAACTGGCACAAAGCCATGTATCCCTCACAGGCCCCTCAAAATCTCTGGTCGTGATTCTAAACAACGGCCTTTGACTTGAGCTTGCTGATAAAACATCATATTGATCACCTTGCAGGATCTAGTCAACCAGATCTATGTTTTAAAAAATTGGGGACTCGAAGTGCCGGGATGGTGGGTCTGCCTGTACTATCAGAAGAACCAGAGAAACTGAATTAAAATTTGCCCTGGTGCTGAATGCTGCAATCTTAGTGTCAGCCTATGCTAAACTTTGGGTCATCTTTAGGCTTAACCATGCCTACTCAATATTCCTCACTTTGGGAAATTGGACATCCAATTGTCAAGCCTAACAAACTTCCTTGCTCCTTGGGAGGCCTTGAATAAACTCACTCTGACTCAAAATTCCAAATGAAAAAAATCCTGAAAACATCAGCCTTGTATATATACCTTCCCAAGGATTAGAGAAAATCAAATGTTGGTTGTTGAACCAATGTATCTCTTCCTCTGAAGTGAGTTTATCTTTGATACACAAGTTGGCTATTCCATGGTGATGAAATGATTTCTTTCCCAGTGATACATGTCTGTAGATAGCATGATAATACAATGATGATCCAATTTAAATATGTATATGCGTGTCCCTGTGTGTGTGATAAGTGTACAACAATGAAGTGTGTATGTCAAAGAGGAAAAGGGAAATCAAAAATGAACTTGAAGCTTCTGAAAGAAAATTACAATTCAATGTATCATGAATCACCTTGATCAACCTCTACTTCATATTGTCAGTGTTAGAGTCATCCCACAATAAGACTTCAAAGAAATTTGCATTCCAATAGATAAAAAAATCAAATTTGTGTGAGTGGAGACTCTCTATTGCTATATATATGTGTGTGTGTTTGAAAGATGTGAATGTGAGATTTCCAGAAAGGATCATCTCAAAACTTAGACAAAGTGAAAAAAAAATTGATGAGTAGAGACTCTCTATGGCTGTATACAATCAGAGCCCCAATGGAGTTTCTTATTGAATTGGGTACTTACACCAAGTTTCCCTAAAAAGGCGGGTCTTGGTGTGATATGCAGTCTTATTTACGAAGATTGAAATTATCTCCAAAATAGCTTCCACCGGCGTGACCACTATTGGCCGCGACACCCATATTGGCGGAAAAAGGATTGGCTCGACGTTGAAGTTGGGTTTTGAACTTTTCCTTATAGGGGTCATAGAAGCATTGAGAGCAAGCTAAAAGAGTTCATATCATCTTGGTCAACGTTTTCCATATTGAGATGAATTGACATGATAGATCAACTTACTCAAAGATCCCGTGCAAGTACCAGAACAATTCAAGAAGCGATTCTTGCTATCGACACAAACTGTACGGTAAATCTGGATCAACAAGAGGTTCAAGAAAGACGATTCAAGGTTCAAGAAAACTGACTTGTTTGTAAGGTCGAACCATCTCCAGCATGGTACTCTTTGGTGCATTGAACTTGCTCGACTGTTTCTCCCGTTTCAAGGTCGGTGCAAGTATTGCACACTGCAAGAGAAGTGGGCGCGGCGGTCAATGTCGAGTTGAAGGCGGGATGGGTAATACGCAGCTTACCTGGTTGGTTGACACAGCTAGATTGATAGCAGGAAGATGGAACTTGTGAGCTGGGGTCCCAACAATGTACCATTGCTCCAAAAAAAACAACCAGAAACGTTTTCGGTTAGTAAAGAAATTTTCTGATTTTTGAGAATTCCGAAGCTTGCTTGGTGCATCAACTCACTGGGATCGGCGTTTCCTGAAGTCTTCATGGGGTCAAGCGACCAATCATTGGGACAGCTGACCGAGAATAGAGATGGCGTGCATTCGGTGAGGAAGACAACGCAGGAAATGATGATGAAACAATTAATGACGAGGCCGAAAGGCGACATCAACCGGGTTTTCGAGATCAGAACTGTTGAGAAGGAGAATAAGCTAAGCTTGGGAATCGAGTTTTGCAAATTAACTCGTAAGTGAAAAGCGAGATATAGAGTCGCTCGAGGAACAGGAAAGTGGCCACAACTCGAGATGAATTTAGTTCTCAAAAGACATGAGCAGATGTAGTTATTTATAAAGATCAAGTAGATATGCTGCGATCGACTTCGAACCCAAAATCCGAGAACGCCGATCACGGGAAAGAGATGATAGTGATGTTACGAGTGGCAAAGATAGGATACAGAAGGCAGTGTGCAGAACGTGGAAAAAGGAATTCGAAACGGATTGAGACTGACATAGACGATAGGTTGTAAAGCTGCAAAAGTTTGCTGTGAACTTGCCTCGGAGCTGAGCCCAGTGCTAAAGGCCGAGATCAACCTCTTAAAGTCTCAGCAAGTCGAAAAAAGTAAAAGTATTGTCAAAAGTGTAAGCTGGTATTCAGGCTAGAGATAAGTGCATGAGATGGATGTCTTACGAGAGACCCGTCCGACAGGTAGGCAAAAATGTCGAGCAGAGATAAGTTAAGCTATCTTGGATGGTTGTGTTATCTACGGTTTAGGCGGCCGTGCTCAACCAATAATAAGCTGGCATCAATTCGATTGCACTTCACTGCGTGAAGGACGAACAAGAAAAGTACAGCTAGAGCTGATCTCGAGACGTGTACCAGTCTGGTACTTTGCTTTTGCCTTCGATCATAAACTTTTTATCTTGAGGCCGGACCGCGGGCGCCCGCAATTAGCTTGAGGAGAAGTCTGGGTATCTGAAACAAGTCAAAAGAATTTGTACATTCAAGCGTTATCATCTCTCGAACTGGAATCTCTGACCCATCTTGGCAACTCAACTGAGCCAACCACTAGCTGTTCATTTGTGTGAAGTACGGAGAGAACGCAGACCGGTAAACTTTCGTTAGAAGCTGAACTGCCACCCATAAGGCGCTCCATTTGGTGGCTATGCTGCATTGCTTTGATCGTGGCCATGCCCCACATCCCGGTGCACATCTCTCTGAAAATCCGAACGCTCTATCAAACCGCTTCTCCTACCATTGAAGATAAGAGAATTCGCAGTCATGAAAACGAGCTGAGCCCATACAGCGGCCTTACAGAGGAAGAAGCAAGTTGAACAGAGCAAGCTCCCAAAATACTTGTAACAAGACGAGATAACAGACCAGAATCTTGCCTTCTTACACCGAAGAATGTTCCATTGCACCATTCTCTGTGAACGTGCGCGCAAACCTTCGGTAACGATCGACATTCGACTCAAGCCTGATATTACTTGGCTGATGAGTAGCACAAAAACGAAACGTGACTCCACTTTGGGATTCATCAACTGTAGAGCCTGAGGCATCATTGCGTGCCACGGCAAAGCTAGGAAGTACCGATATGGGCCGTCACTCAAGGCTAGGGACGGAATAGGTCTTCGCGTAGTCAGTGAGGTTGCCATTTCTCTCAGATCTGACGAGGCCACAGGAATGCCAAGTTTCCCTAAGCTTAGCTTTCCCCTGATTTACATTTCAAAGTCAGCCTACGATTTGGGGGCTCAAATGAAATTTCTACGGATGGTTTTGCAAAACGGAAAACAGATAGACTGCATAGAGAAGTCAAGTCACTTTTGGAATGAATTCAGTGATTACACGCAAAATTCTAATGCAACCATTGCGCAAAAATGATGAATGGTGTACCTTTTATGATACCACAAGAAAAATTTCGCAATTCAACATCAGTCCTTCTCCGCTACAATCTTCATCAACTTTACATCGCGTGATCCTCAGGCTCGATGTTTCAGAATCACGTATATGTGTGCAACTGGAGCCTGCGGGTAACATTTATTCAGTAATTTTTGATTGAGGTTGCGGGAATCCGGGCAGGCTACACTGTCACAGACAGAAGGGCAGACCCCGAAAGTCTTGCCTGGACCCTAGGGACCAACATCAAACCCGGCCGTGTACTGAGATGATCACGAAAAGACATCCTTTGGCATACTTTGTGTGGAAAGCGAAGAAGTTTGACATACATATTGAAATCACCGAAGAAGTGGAGACTGCCAGTCATTGATGCAGGTACTCTCAGAAGAGTTTTATCCAATAAAAGTCAGGAAGTGAGCACTTCAACACTTTTACATATTTGAGATCACTACATAGTCTCATCAGTGGACCAATCCTAGGCCACGCCTCCAAGACTTACTGAAGCCAATTGTTTTTTTTGTAAATGGAGTCCAATACCTGCTTTGTTAGACAAACTAGAATGATCTTGTTCAGAGTAGGAGGATATCTTCCAGAAGTTACGATTGTTTTCAAAAAGAACAAGACATGTATATAATAGATTTATGAAAAAAGTCTAAAATTCTCATGAACTTATTCAAGGAATCAAGTGTATAACATTGATAATTTTTGAGGAGAAAGATCAATGAGATCCTGACTTCTCAAACTTTTCTAAATGTACATATATCTCACCAATGATATCCGTCCCATATAGTATCTCTTGAGCATTGAAACAAAGATTTGATTTTATTACAAGAAGTCAATGGTAATAGTATCATCTGGTACATCTTTTTACATTGTTCTTCTATTACAAAACTTTCAAATTTTCAAACCAAGTAAGAAACAAAAAGATGTACATCAAGAAAGGAATCCACGAATAGCTAAAAAGGAAATTTCCAAAAAAAAGAAAGGTAAAAAAAGTTAACATCAATCAGAAGAAATAGAGTCAATAAAATAAAGAAGAATTTACTTACCACCACCTACACCAGTAAGATCGATCAAAAAAGTATCATGACCAAAAGGTGAATCTAATTCATAATAACTTACATTTTGATTTCCAATCAATCTAAAAGATTCAGCTAATTCACGTTGTTGATTAATTGGAAATAATAAATCAGATTGGATGCCTAAGATCAAGATCGGATGTGAATTTAATTTTTGGAATGTATTTGATAAGGAATTGACTATGTTTAGATGGTTTATTGGAAGTGAAGAAACATATGATTTGTATTTTGTAGTCGTAGTTGTAGTTGTAATTGGAGACGGATTTGGATTTGGATTTGTCGTGTTCAGTGTTGGTTCTGGGATTAACGGTGGTAAATCTTGTTGGTTTCTGAAAGTTGTTAGTTCTTTTATTCCTTCTGTGGTCATATCAAACAAATCCATTGCTTTCCTACAGAACAACAACAACACCTCATCAACATATTTTCCGAAAAAAGAAGTATAATTAAAAAAACTTACGAAAGGTAAATTAGACTATTTGCATCATATTTTAAACAGAATTGTTCACCTTGATGATCTAAATACTTTTCAATTAAAAAGTCAGGACAAAGTACAGGTGGATTCAATCCTTTTACTTTTTGTTGTTTCTGTGGTGATTGATTAGGAGGTTTTAAATCTTGACGTTTTCTACCAAATCTTTGTTCCCATTCTGGACCTGATCTATATGTGATGGTTGCAATTTGTCTTGCTAATTTCATTCCTACATGTGGTGGAATCTTATCATAATAAAATCCTCTGTTCCAATTCGGATCAGACATTAAAACTTTTTTTCGTAAAATCCATTCCAAACATATTGAACAATTTAGTCAGTATGATACTATGAAGCGTTTCGTTTAAGAAATAAAGTATTTTGTTTTTCAACTCACCAGATCTTTGAGCATATCTTAAAGCAATACTAGAAGGAGCACTCCTACCACACCCACTAATCGAAATCAATTTTCCAACCCTTTCAGGAAACAACCAAGTAGCAGCAATAGATTGCATACCACCCATACTACTACCTACACTAGCAAAAACCTTTTCGATACCCAACTCATCCAATAATTTAAATTGAGTTCTAACGATATCAAAGATAGTAATAATAGGAAAATTAGTAGCATAAGCTGACTTGGTTTTAGGATTGATTGAAGAAGGACCTGTCGAACCAAAACAAGATCCTAATACATTTACACATATTAAATAATATTTGTTTAAATCTATAGGATACTTTGATCCATAACCTATAAAGTTTTCCCACCAACCTATTGATTTTGGATTTGATGGATGACTTTTAGCATGACTGTTGGCCGATAAACCTGTGTGTAGTAAGATCACATTATCTTTTGATTTTGATAAATTTCCCCATGTTTCATATGTTAAGGTAAACTCGGGTAAACTTTGTCCGTAATCTAATTCGAATGTCTTAGTATAATTAAATGTTTTGTAATCTGATTTTGAAGAAGAAGATGATAAGTTTGAATAAATTGGTTCTGGACCTATGGAAGAAGAACTAGATTGTTGATTTAAATTGGATCCTAAGTTTTGATTTGATAAATTCCTGTTCGATTGATCTTTTTGTTTATTTCTTTGATGATCGAGTAATGTTTTAGATCTTTCTTCGATTTGATCTATACATGGAAATGATACTTTATCAGATTCGAATGATTTGATAATATTTGATGATTTCGAATTTTGTAAGATCGTTTGTTGAGAAAACGATCGATGATGATAAAACTCAGTCAATGCAGGACGATTGATGGGTCTTTTTGAATGGAATATGTTAAATTGCTTTCCTAATGGGAATCGAGTCAAGTTCATCATCGGTCGTTTTCAAAGTGCACTGCAAATGAATTCAAGTTGAAAAGATAGAATCAGAAACCTTTTAGACGATGGACAACAGTCAAGGGTGAATGCAACTTACTATCTATGGTAATTGATTGAGCGTGATGATGGTATGCCATTTAAAGAAATTTCTTTCAAATCATCCATTTCCTCGATTACAAAGCTCGATGACGCCATCGATGCAATAACAGTGCGACATCTTGAACGCGAAGTCTTCCCAGACTAAAAACGTACCCCCCTACAATCCGGCCACTTAATCAAATGACTCATCGCTCTCGAGAAACTCAAATGGTGCAACAATAGCTGCCCAACTCAATAACTAGAGTGGATCTGTCCTTTTCAAAGGCTTCAGAGAACCTCAATGCATCAACATCCTGATCTTATGTTACACTCAAGTCAAAGCCAAGCAGGAGAAACAATAGGAATTCTTTATAGAGCAGTCTTTCAAAAATCCAACAAATCATCCGATATATCTCTCACTCTTCATATGAGAGTGCTTCATTTCTTCCTCAAGCTTTGGGTAATTCTGATTTTTTGGAGGCAGATAGCAGGAAAGAGTGGCCTTCAGAACAGCCCTGAGATTGATATTTTGTGAAGGCTCTGACAATCAGGCATTTCAATAGAATTGTATCAGCAACCTGTCACGGTTCTTGTACAGGTGTAAACTTTCACCAGCCATTTCACTCAGGCCTGCACCCTCCTGCACCTGCTCCACAGCTTACAGCCCTTCCAACAATGGTTGATTTATTTGATCAAAAAAAACCTCCTGTGCAAAACTCATAGTTTTGGTTTTATTGAGTTTTTCCTTTTCAAAAAGTTGAGCAATATGGAAGGAAAATGATCCCCCAATGAAGATCATGTGTCCTTATGATCATTCATCTGAAGATCTTTTGCAATATGTGTGCTAAATCCTTGATATTGTCCTTTGGGTTCATGGATAGCGGTGAGGACATCCCTTTCTCCTTGGTTAGTAAGATTTGACATAGCCAGGCTGTGGCTGACACGCACATCAGATGTGTTCCAGTTACTTTAGACAAACTTGGCAAAACCATTTACAGGCATCATATCTGCTGCACTGATGAACATTTTACCATAAACCCTCTACATATTGTTCTTTGTGACACTTCCAATGACACCACCTGTGTTATATCACTCCTATGTACTTGCCTCTGCCATCCCCAGTTCTTCAGCTTTCAGATACTTTGGGAGCATAACAGCATTAGTCTTTTCTGAAATTATGGCATCCTGAGACTCAAGACTAAGGCCTGGACCCAGGTCTGGGGCCAGCAGGCCATGCCTGGGCCCGGGCTTTCATGGCCCTCTAAAAAGCGCTGAAAGGCTGAAGTGCTGTGCTCTTGGGCCGCCAAGCCTGATGTTAGGCTAAGTAGGCTGTTGAGCTCAGCAGCACAACCAAAAAGTTGTGTGAGGGGTTTATGGTCTTGGTAAAGCACAGAAACAGGCTTTGGGAAGGTTGAATCAATGCTCTAACAAACACAAAGTGATCATACTGCCAATGGCTATTCTGAAGAGAAGGTACTATGCAACTGAACAAGGTATTGTATAACCTTGGGCAAAGCCTCTCTTAGCACCTTTACATAAACAATTGCTTGGGTATTTGACTTGTTCAATGTTCTGGTTAGTTTGATCCCAGTCCTTATAAAACACAGTAGGCTGAGAACTGAGCTGACAATTTTGCTGTTTTTTAATTCCTCCAATTTGTCTTTTAATTCCTGCCAAATAGCCCCACTCAGAGTCTTGCTCCAAGATGTCACCTATATCTTGTAAAATCTCCAATGCTGGTCTTGAATTCATTTCCACTTCACACACATACCCAGGTCTACATCAAAGCAATCAATCTTCACTGATTTGCTGTGATTCTTCAATGATTATACCCCTATCAGACTCTTGAAATGGGGTCCACTTCCACAGCAAGGTTGCCTCAGAGTTGGAGCCACCAGTAAATTTTGGGGCCCAAGGTTAACAAACCACATCAGAAGTGTAAAAAGTCTTACCAGTCTACATATCATTTGAAAGACAAGCAAGCCAAGTCTGAGTCTGAGTCTGATGTCAATGTTTTACAACTAGTAACTCAGAAGACAAAATGTGCTAAGATCTAAATAATAACACTCAAAGACTGCCAAAATCCAAATAAGGTAAGTACAATTTTGGATAATCTTTCTGCTTGTTCTGATGTCTATCTAATTGATCAATGTTGTATTGTGTGCCACAGTTGTATACCTCACTGTGAGCTTCAAAGAGGAAGAGAATCATAGTGGACTTACCTCAAGACTCTGAGGATGAGCATGCTAAAGTCCAGGGATCCAAGAAGCTCAAGGATTCCAAGGATCCTGATAAAAGGGATATGAAAATAACAAGGACTATTTTAAGGATCTTGTTCAGGGTAAAGGTGTTGTGGTAGTGTTGTGTAAGGTGGTCAAAGATCATTACTTAGTGGGGTGTTGATGCTTAAGGTATGTACAGGCATTGGGATGGTTAACTTCCACCTTTGGGAAAGGTCTGTCTCTTTTGGTATTGATGAATCAAGGGGTAAACCTTTTAGGTGTTAATTCAAGGGATAGAGAAAAATTTCTGGATCTCTTTTGTATTGGTTTCTCGCACTTTCTCTTTTCTGTTTCTTTTTGTGTCAAAAAGAGGACACAAAAGGAATCAGTAAGTCATTCATCATCATAAACATCTTTCTCATTATTTCAAATTCACTGATCATTTCTACTATTGTCTTTTTCCTGGGTTACATTTTAAGAACATCAATTTATTGTCTGTTAAACTTACCCTGTACCATGTGCCACTCAACCTTTCCTTTGAGCTCACAGGTAGATCTTTTCTGCTTGAGTGTTTCATTTTTGTTAGTTGATGTTGAGTCTGATAGTTTTTCTCTATTTTGTCTTTCTTGTTTGTTGTCTCTGAGCCTGAACAGGTCAGTATATCTTGTTCTTGGTGTAGGCCAGCATGTAGCTTGAAGTTTCTAACGCAGAACACTGTCCCCTCAGGCTCAGGTTTGTGTTGAAAAAATCAAACATCATTTTATTCTGGATGCATGGACTTCACCTCACACTTGACATGGATTCATATCAGCCTTAGTCATTTGTGTCAGTAGCAAATGGAAGTTTGTCACCCATCACCTATTCATGAAGATGACTGTATTTCATCATAAGGGCAAGTGGCTTGCCAAGCTGCTGATCAATGTGCTTGTTAAACACAAGCTTTATTCAAAGAGTTTTTTTTCATACAGATATTATCAACGCTCAGCTAATATTGTTTTGGGAATTGTGAATGATGCATGGTTTCACAGACTCATGATTCAGGTGGAAATAAGAATTTCTGTGCTTGCCCAATGTAAGCAAGACTACCAAAGATGACATTGGAGAACTATGAAAACCTTGAGTTGGACAAGAGTACTGATTGATTACAATGCATAGACATTGCCTTGATAGTTAAAACAGGATTCCAAGCACTCAGAATGCACTCCCCACCCCCTCCACTTATCAAGTCATCCATTCTTGAAGATTTTTGTATCAGAAGATGAAACTTCAAAAAGCAAGAACAATGACAATGAAGAAAAATCAGTAGATGAGATGGAAACTAGTGATATACTTGTACAAGAAGTCACCCCCAACATAGATGCCTCGGATTTTTCAATCCAAGGCATCTTTGTTGGCTGTGAGTCTCTCTTGATGATTGGTACAGACATATTGATGGAACCCATGGGCCTCTGATGATGGAACTCATGGACCTCTTATGCCTGCAAAAATTTGGAACAAAATCCAATGCAATTTACTCATTGACCCTTCAAGTATGTTGTTTTTATCATCTATGACTATATCTTCCTTTTTGCATCATTTAAACCTTATCATTTTTGGGTTTTTTCTCTTGATTGATATCATCAGTTCAATGAAATTGCTCACAAGATGAGCAGTTCATCTCAAATTTCGCAAGTCTTTGATGCTACTTGCAAAAGCATGGACATTAATTTCCCTTGAGCAATTCCAGGGTATGGATTTGACAAAATATCAAGGTTCAATGCTGGGACAAGTTACACAACACTCAAGAGGTATGTAAACATTCATTTATTTTATTTTACAGTGATGATGCCATTGTTTCATGCCATTGATAAAATGCTTGAAGATAACCAGAAAGACCTTGCCAAAGGGAAAAATATCAAGCAAAAACCTTCTGAGCTGGGACCTAGTGATCCTGATAATTCTCAACCTTGTGGTATTGTCAACACAGTCCAAATCCCTCCTGACCAATGGAAGCAGGTAGGACATTAGGTGCTTTGAGTAAGTCATGTTTGAATTCATTATTGATTCTCTCATATGTTCCTATTTTTTGCTCATCAGCTGAGTTTCAACTTTATAAGAATTTCAAATGCTGACAAAGCTCTTTGAGCAAGATCCTCCAACTGGATCCCTGGCTATCTGAGAGTATGTCAGCTGCAGAAGACAGTTCAAGACATAATTGATGCATGTACTTTGCAAGCCAACCCTCTGTTCCCAATGTACCATGCCACAAATGTTTGATTAATTTCATACCTAGAAGAAGCTCTCAAATCTGATGTCTTGATCCTAGGAATCATCCTCCATGGTCACCCCATCTAGCAATTGGATTATTTCCAAATTGCCTTTGAGGAGAACTCTTGCAAAGATCAAAATGCTAACTATTTCTTGTGTGGCATGTGAAAGTGAATTATATGTCCAATTTAACCCACAACCTCATCTGGCACCCCCGCCAAAATATCAAGGAGTTACATAAATAGCAGTTTTGAAATTTCAAAACACAAACACGCCATCAAGCACACTGCAGCAAACAAATTTGGAGGACAAAACTACAAGAGAGTCAAATGTACACTTCTTGAGCAATAGAGCAACTTATGTTTCCAAAGGAAGAAAGAAAACCTGAGTTGGGATAAAGTGGCACAATGAGAAGAAATCTAACATGGTGCGAGCATCCGTGCCTCCGGG